CACGATGCGCGCGATGATTATGTCCAGAAGAAAAACAAGTTGTTACCGCCGGACATTGTCATTATATATCCACCATCAGCATCGTGTATAAAAGGGCATCACTGAGTAAGGATGCCTCATTCGGGGAGATGGCTCACTGAAGAAGACCTGACTCGACACGAAGGCGAAGCTGCCACGTCGAGACGAACAACAAGCATGGAGCATCGACTCGGATCACCGGCTCTGAGGAAGACGAAGACGTCGAAACGTTAGCCGAAAATAAATATATTTATCAACCTCGTGCAAGCTTATCAAGAAAGAATACATATTGATCCACAGAATAATTGATGTCGGGTCATATAAATAACGTTAAAAAAAAACTATAACCATCATCCATGGAGGAAATGGTCGTATCCGCATATCATTTGGGCTACTATTTTCAAGAATCTGTAAGTTGACTCCAACCGCCATAAAGCTAGTTTACTCATTCGTGATCCTTTTCATTGCTTCGGTAACCACTCTAATTTTCCCATTTTCAAGAGAGTATATTCTTTGAGGATAGAAACTACGAAAACCTATTAACCTTGGGTGTGCCCGTCCGCAGTGTGCATTGTATTCAAGGTGTTTGCTCTTACAAAGTATTATTGAACGTCTCTACTGCGTACTGTAAAGCTGTAGGAACTTTAGAAACTTCTACGACTCTCGAGACTGGTTTGTACGTGGCCCATTAGCTAATCGTTCGCAAAGTTCAGCTTGTTTCATAGCTTTAGTTGAGTGAGTTTCTTGAGAAGTGGTTTTTCGTTTTCGTCACCGCTCCTAATAAAATGGATGCTCTTCTGCTGTGAGCCCTACGCCAAAGGAAGACTTCTCCACCAAGTATCGGTGTAGAGATGCCTTCCTTCATCCAACAAATCCCACCTGAACTTTAATTCAGCTATGAAAAGGTTGCTGCCAATGCCAAACTCTCTAGATCTAGCTTCTCGAGCACAGTATGGATGATCTCAGCCCTTTTTTGGCCTCCTATCTGGAGTGTACTACTGGTGGAAGACGACTCTACCTCTAAGCGGCACGAGAGATTCATCCATACATGTAAGCATTCTAGTATCTGTATATCCTACTCAATTTCCTGTTGATAACCTCGATTAGAGTTCTAATTCTCTGCAACCTATCTTATCAGTCGTCATCTGCGTTGTCGGCAAAATGGAGATTTCCCAACAGAATTTGAAATCTGTCTCTTGTCATGCATCCGCCCATAGTGATGAATCTAGAAATTTTCGCCAACAAACTATCTTGTTCTACGACGAAAAAAAAAAGCTCTCGGCGTTGATCAATCCCTGAGGGATGCGCCATGCATTCGACTTCATTAAGCATCGTTTAGAGGTGACTGAATGCATATATGGCCCCATACAGTGACTGGCGGTGGCCTACCGATATATCGAACCAGTGCTGCTATCCTCCCAGACAAATCTGGTACCAATTTGCCGACCGCGGAGGGATGGAAGGCTTGGTGAGCCATGAGCGCCGGGATCGATTCCACTTGTGTGTTGCAGTGGCGCCTCCAACCACTGCGCGCCCGAGCTCTACAACGATAATGTGGATTTTCCTGAGTGGATTTTCCTTGAAAATTTGAAATTCACATAGACTCGGAATGAAAATACCATTTTCGAGAGACCATTGCACTCCTCTAGAGTGCTAGAGCAAACTCTCTTCTACACGTGTGTACAGTTCTGAACTTCTTTTGGTCCTATAGTAAACTAAAATAATTGGGAGTTATCGGAAAGAAACCACAACTTATATTGTTCATGGTATATGAGGTCCAACTTTGAATGAGTTGTCCACTTTATTTGCATTTCTGATTGTTATGAGATGCCATAGCTAGTGTAAGAAATCGCCGATGTGAAACGAACGTTGAATGTATCACCGATACGTAGCTTTAGTGTTAATGCCTCATCAGTTATTGTTGAGAACATTTGCGAATAAGGGAAGCATACTTTCTTGGATACTTGGACGGTCTCTCCTCACTGGTTGTGCGGGCCACAGCGTATTCTCCATTTTTTGGAGTTTTGCGGGTTTAGCCATTGCGTTTCCCTGGAGTCCTACGGTCAGCCTGGCCAAAGTCTGCCACAGGTTGTCACCACCACAGACAGTCGACGCCCTTGTGGACCAAGGGAGATTTGCTACCGTGCAACTAGTTTGGTTCCATGACGGTGGTGGATCCTGGTATTCGTTTACTCTTAGCTGGGCTTCCTGATGGAAACGCCGGACTCCTCAACTTGGGAGACTCTGCAGGGGGATGAATTTCCGTTGTACATCGCAGCCCGACACCCAGGAATGGTTACCAGCCACGACGAGGCCGTAAACTGTTGGGAGGACGCGAGAAATATAGAAAAAAAATTATTCATATCCACATATTCTATCCGCTAAATGATTCTTAACTTCATATCGTGGGCGATTGGTTTAGCACAGTTCTCTGAATGGACTACGAGCAATTTTTTTGTGGGCTGCGGAGTTTCCGGTTTTTTGGCAATAGAAGATAATTGTTCGATATCTAGAGTGCTTTCGGGGTTATGAGCACCACAGGCTTGTAGAGGCAACCCTTTTCTATCGTTCTGGGTGTGAAAGATGTGTATGCTTCTATTTACGGTCCATTACGCAAATACACTGCTTCAGAACTTGTATTTTAACCCTAGATTAGGTATATTTCGGTGTCTTTCATCTCCGCATATTCCACACAACGACCACAGTAATTAAAATGGAATAACAGCTGGTTATTATTCAAACTATTCAAATCACCGTCCGGTGAACTTTTCCGAAAAAAAAAGGTTTTCATCTTAATTTTGGAGAGGCTTTTTGGTAAATCGTTAAATGCAAGGAATGGATTTCTGGTCTCAGTCCTACTATTCTGATCTGCTTTCGATTAGCTATCAAATGAATATGCATACCCCAGTAAAAAAAAACTCTTGACGTCCATACCGTCCCGTGGGCTAAACGCGTGTCGACACTACGGTGTGCAGATCGTGCGTTGTGGGTCAAAAGGCCGAGGGAATCTGGAGGCAAACTTCCCTCCGTTCCACAAGTGCAATACAACTACGCCCGGCTATCATTCCAAATGTCACTGATGAAAAACTTCATAGATTCTCTGGTTGTAGCAAAACCCACACGTGAACATGACCACCTCTACTATGACACATGGTTGCAAAACTACGAAAAAGAGAAAAAGAGTTAATGCTCTCACCACGAGTGATGACGAGCTATCCATCTAACTCTACTTATTTAACTTAAATGATGGAGAGATATTTGCAAAACTCCGGACCACAGGTGTCTGCGGTGGGGAACGAACGCGCTATTACCTTTTCCGGGGCTAACGCGTTCACCACCACACCATGAGGGTCCTTTGTTTCGCATGTCTCCACTTATATATTTAAGTGGTCTTACGAAATGAACTTGTTGAGCTGATGCAAGGTTGGTAACGTTTCCGTTGTCGTTGTTGTCGTCGTAGTTGTTGCTGTTGTTCGTCGACTAGCTGACGTTTCGGTGATTTCGCCTTCCTCAGAGCCTTGCTGTTACAAGTGCGACTCACTAACCAATCAGAACTTTACTTGTTTATGCAATCCATTTTCACATAACGAAGAGCTTCGAATTTATGTATGGATCCTGATGCTAAAGATCTCATCCTTCCAACAAATGTTAAATGCTGATCGAGTCGATTTCCACTGGAATCTTAGGAAAGCTCTGGTATAGCATTCCCAGATCTTCACCACATTTATCCAGCCGACTCTGTGCGGTGTAGGAAGGTTTTCTCACATAAGTTTGGCATCAATAATTCCGCACTAGATGAATGAAGACGGTGGGCCAGGACAAGGTCGAATCGACTAAGTAGAACAAGCGCTCCTAACTATCTAATTAAGTTTTCAAAACTTTAACTTGCAGTTTTCTCGCCACAAATGCTTCTTCACTTGGGATCTTCTTCAATCAAACGACAAATGTTAGTATAAGGACAAGTGATCTATGAACTAATGTGGCTACTGCACTCTCAACCAAGAGTTTCCATATTCAGCTGATAACAACTGTATACCTGTGTACATAAAGCCAGATGTATCCGATTTAGTTCGAGACAGGGTCTAGTTATATGATAACTAAACAACGGTTATGTGAAAAACATATGCCAGAATGAGACAATGGGCAAATAATGCGGGACCAAAATTTCTAGTTTCTATAATATTCTCATATATAACACTATTCATACACCAAAATATATTTTGTATTGTATTTTTATATCGTAGTGCTATTTATACACATGCATATATTTTCAATACACTGAAATATTGTTACATACTCTTTATATGCTGAAATATTAGAGCACCGGTCAAACAAGGTAGGTCAATCTGGAGAATGGAAGAAATTACTGTACGTTATGCGTCCAGAGTACTGCCATTGACAGCCTTCACGTCACAATTTATCATTGCTTATACACACTGTTATACGATGAGTTAAGGTCAGGGTAGGGAGTCGAGAACAGCTGAGATACATTGCTTGGCCTGCTCGTGGTTGAACAACAACAGCTGGATTTGATCTGTCGGAGATCCTTCAAATGGTGTCTTAATGGCGACATCAAAAGCACTTTCTGGAAGTCTTGGAGTAGCTGTTTTTCTATCTCTCTTTTCTTTCTCTCGCATTTCTTCCAACTGAATATAGTCAGATATCTGGCTGTAGACACGGTCTAGAATACGTGTCTTCACTTCTGCTAACATCGCTAGATTAAACCTATAAAATCGAAATGTAAACATCACACTTTCAACCTTAGTTTTCAAAATAACACTGATTTTGTATTATGAAGAAAAGTCCGTAGATAGTATCAATAAACTGTGCCTCAACTAAAAAATCATCTATAAGTGTCATTTACTTGTCACTGCGGTATTTTGGTTTCGGTAGCGATAGAAACCAATCATGCATAATGAGACGATTAATTTTCCATGTTTTTCTTATCTACTGGCCATTACAATTTTTCACGAGACGGTATTATGTGAAATACAGGCACAGTGATGCTGAGATACTTCCAAAAACTCCACACCGCAGGTGTCTGCGGTGGAGATCGAACACGATAGTACCCTTTCCGGGGCTAACGCGTTCACCACCACACCAAGCGTGTCCTTTGTTTTGCCTTTCTCTCAGCTAGTTCTCTATCTACCAGTGCCATCAGTAAACAAAAAGTTAACATTGTGATTTCGACCATAGCTTCAACTTAGCAGGGTTCAATACCGATTTGTTCTCCGAATATCAATCACGCTGACAGGTGATTGCTAATGGCTTATCGTGCAAGCTTATCAAGAAAGAATACATATTGATTAGTCACACCAAGGTTTAGAGAAAGTCGGTTTCGAAATATTTCAACATCATTGTGATTCTCTGTTGCTATTAGCAAAACTAAGTAGGTGGTTACAAATGTAGTGAAGTATGTACTTTTCGACCCAATGGTACTTGAAAATATTGTTCGAAATAAACAGAGCAAATTCTTAGACCAGAAGTCTGTAATTAAACTTCATTTTTGGTTGTAAGGAATCTCTATTTTTGCAAACTGACTGGGATTGATCAGTAGGTATAAGCGTCCTTAAAGATCATGTTGTGTACCACTTAACATGCTGGGGAACAAGAACATGCAGGGTAGTCGTTGCACTCGTTCCACTTTGGCTTCGGTTAACTATTCGGACTCACCTCTGTAGAGCTACAAATTGCACCAGCGTAAATATGGACACGTAGTAATTACTCGCTTCACACATATTCGCATAGCGTACGTCTTCCAACATCCCGAAAAAGCTGCCCAGCTCTTTTTGAAACGGTTCTTCGATCAGATGTCTTCGATATTGATCGATAAACAAGGCTACGATAGAGGACTCGTTATCCAAAGACAAATCACTCTACAAATGCGTTCATTGCGCTAAAGCCAAAAAAATTTCCCACGTACAACATACCACTCACAGAACTTAGCACTTGTGATATGAGACATTTAATAAGCAAACATCTTGGACAGCTTGGAAACTTATGAAGAATATCCAGGCATCTATTCATAATAAGGACACGGAAGGAATGCTGCTCGAAATCTTCTATGAAATGAAGTAATCGAAGGATAAGATCCTAGAATAGAACGTAAAAAGGACAGCTTGACAGCATTAGAAGAATGAAGGAGACCTACACTGTACAGAACAATGTCCGACACGTCCAGGCCTTCTGATATCTGTACGATAACGTCCAATGCTGTTACAATCGGCTTCACAAAGTGTTTCTCATAACTAAACATGTTTTTTTTCACACACTATGTTTTATATGCATGTTAACGATCAATGTATCCGAATTTTCTAAATCAAATGAGTGCAAGCATCAATAAATGTTACTGTTACTTGTAGTCGTTTTCACGCAGGTAGATAGTCAGCCCCTCTACAAGTTTCCTGACTCGAAAGTAGAGTGAGTATACATTGGGAATCAGTACCGTCGGCTCTCCCACACCAACTGAAACTGAATGTCCAGCTTAAAAGACCTCTTAACAGTGTTATAGGAGTTTCCTGTGCATTGGATGGACTGATTATATTATAATACATGTTATATGAGATACAGCGGTAAACACGTTTAGTTAGAGTTATAATGACTACAACCTATTAAATTACTCTTCAATAGTTCCATTAAATTAGTAAACCTTAAATGTCTTTTCAATAGCGAAGGCTTGAAATTCGCCAGCGTCATCATGACAGGAACAGTTTGCGTCTCTAAGCACTAGGTTGGTTCTTGGCATGCTTAGTTCTCTCAAAAGAAGAGTCGGGAAGCGAATAAAACTTCTATTCAGAATTTTCTATAAAGTTTGCATAAAAATCTCATTCTCATCTTATATCAAAAAGTCCTCTTTTTCGCCGTTTTTTCTCAAAAAATGTTGAACTTTTCTCTAATTATTTTTAAGGACAGATATACTACTTGTTACCATGAATTACTTTTCGCATAATTTCGTTGGGGTTTCTAACACATAGGGTCCCACATGATTTGATTTTCAGCCATACGTGGGGGTTGATAGATTAGCCGACATGAACTGATTTAAATTCACAACACGCGCTGCGAGGAACAACGCTTTCTGGTCAGCGCTCGTGAGATGAAATCAGGCGCCAGGCTCTAAATGTCGAATCTAGAGCCAACATAACAGATGCCACCGCAAATGTGAACAATGCACCATTAGATGATAATTCTAAGCGTAAAATAGATCAATGCTCTAATAAATTTAAAGTGATTGTTTTCAAACACCTTAAACTAACTAGAAGAGTCAAGATGTAGACATGTAGCAGTAGCGTAACTTCAAGGACGCGCACATGTTAAGGCAATCAGTTGCTGAAGTTCCCTTTCTAGAAATGATTCCAATAAACCACACATACGAATCGAATAGCAATGTACAGTGGAAAGATGGATACCCCACAGGAGAAAACGCTGTGTAGAGTTTATGATCTGATGAGGATATACAAAAGATGGGTTGCATGATCAATTATTACCTTTCCAGTAAATTAACGCATATGAATTTTAACATAAACGAACGTAGTTTCGGCGAAAAAGGATGCGTCTTCGAGTGGAAAAGTAGCAGAGGAAATGCAGCCGGCAGTTCTGGTTCGGAAGTGTTAACGGCAGTAGTGAATACGTTGGATATTCTAAAGCTTAACACTTAAATCACTGCATTACCACAAAAATATCTACATTACATATAGCAGCAAAGTGCCAAGGAGAAGTCATTTAAAGAGTATGCCCAAGAAGTAAACATAGTCAGTGCGTGTTTTTCTCCCAACCGATTATTATTCGATGATTGTGGCTTGAATGGCCCGATTTCATGCAGAACCATGCAGGTTCAAGCACAATTTCCATTTCACTCATAATTTGCTAAGTGGACAAGACTTCGCAAGATTTCCCTTTCCCGCAGTCCCGACATAGCTGTACTAAGACTTTCATACTTCGTCAATAGCAATTGTCAGCTCTTGTGAATCGGATTAATGATTTCCACCTTGCCGCTAGGCTGCTAACAGTACTGTGGTAGTTCTTGGAAGCACTGTAGTCCTAGCTAGCCTATCGCAAAGAATGGTCGAATTTATTCTCAACTTGAGAGGTTCTGCTGCCGCTAAGAACCCCGTCTGTAAATTCACAATTCGACACCTAGAAGGAAGAGGTGTGAATTTCGATTATGTCGCAGAAATAACATGAAAGGAACTGGTAGAGTCAGATTCTAAATAAGTCCTTGCGGATGTTAGTCGTTCAAAATGTAGTGCGCTGTTATGACTGTTTTACATAAGTTTCCTTCACATGAGGAATTTAGGATACGTTGGTCAGAAGGTTGTGTAATAAGCTGGAGATGCAGATGAGTTTTGGGATGGGTTGCATGTGAAGCATTGACAAATACCTCTTATTTTCGTGATCGCATTCGTGTTCACATGGTGGATATTTTCGTGCATTAGAGAAATTATAGGTGATATGATGGTGGCCATATCCATGGCTGGATTTCTAGTCTAACTTTGCTAGTTAACTTACAAATACAGTTCTATTAAAAGCAACTGACTTCACAGGTAGAACAAATGGAATATCACGAAATAAATGAAGTATGTGGGCGACGTCGAGTGCAGCGCACATTATATCGGCACTGCATTCATCGAGATTTTTTTCCAACTTCAAAGGCAAAGAATCGCACAACTCCTCCCATTCAGATGGACTGGAAGACGGTTTCTTAGTAAGTTATTTAGAGAATAAGAAAGCTAGAAACTCACTATTTGTCCTTAAAATTGTTCATTAGCATAAACCTTAGCTGACTAATGAGTATTTCGTTCAGATGTGGCGTAGATCTGCCAGTAATAAAGTTTAAGCATATTCGGAACTTCAACGGCTCCGGCTCAGTTGTACTAGAAAGAGTGTTCATAAATTATATACCCAGACTTCTCAAACTCTCTCAAAAAAGTCTCCTATTCTCCTTAAGTTCTTCGCTAGTTCCTCCTAACAGTTTACTGCCTCGTCGTGGCTGGTAACTGTCCCTGGGTGTCGGGTTGTGATATGCAGCGGAAGGATTCATCTCCTGGCAGAGCCTCCCAAGCTGAAAAAGAGTCTGGGCTTTCATCAGGAAGCCCAGTTAACAGTAAACTAGTACCAGGACCTGCCACCGTCCAGGTACCAAACTAGTCGCATAGTGGCAAATCTCTTCCTGATCTTCCTGATTATGCGGTATTAGTTGTGCGACCCTCCCAACGGTTTACTGCCTCATCGTGGCTGGGAGGTGGTTCTTGGGTGTCGGTGAGAAGGAGTCCGGCGTTTCCATCAGGAAGTTTAGCGAAGAATAAACCAATACCAGGATCCACCACCGTCCTGGTATCAAAGTCGCATGGTGGCAAATCTCCCTCTGATCCACAAGGGTTGCGACTGCCCGTGGTGGTGACGACCTGGAGCAGACCATGGCCTGGCTGACCTCGGGACTCCACGGAACCACAATAGGTAAACCAGCAAACCCCCAAAAGATGGAGATTATGCTGGAGGCCCGCACAACCAGTGAGGGAGGGCCATCCAAGTACCAAAGTAACCAAGTGCCCTTGCTAATTAACTTACTCAAGTAGTGATACGACAAGAGCTCTCAAGTTGTTATCATTGTTGTCGCGAAACACAGTGATCGCGTCGAAGATCGCGTCAATAGCCAGTTTACGAAGACATTCTAAATGACGAATTGACCATAACACAATTAACTTTATTAGGAACTTGAACCACATAAGGGAAAAATACCACGACTATCTGGATGAAAGCTCTGGAAGTACAGAAGTGCTTCGGCATACTTTCCGCCATTGATAAGGGATAAAAGTTCCCTCAGGTGGCACATTACTTCTAACCTTAATGGAAATAGGTAGAAGCCATGGAAATTTGTTCAAGTGGGTAAAGCAAGAGACAGATAGACAACAATCAAGACAAAGACAATATGACTACGCAAATATCAAGAATCATGATAACCATTTTACTCGTTGTTACGAGCGGACAATCTCACTGATTTTAGCATCAAAGAACATCGATTTCGCAAGCTTTACCGTCAATTTTACTCTCTTCGTCAACATAAGTATATAAACCTCCGTGAAACATCCAGAATGAGTTCCAGGAAATACTGAAGACAAGCCATCCACCGAGTTCACGACATACAGGTACAACCAATGCTGAAGGAAAAAAAAAGAACTATGATGACGTTACAATACATTTTTGAAGGTAACAGAAAGCAAATTGGCTGTGCTTGGCTGAAAGAAAACAAAAGCGTATGTGTGAAATTCGTAGGAATAGAAGCTAGAATAGGAAAATATACACGACATCGAACAGAAAAGAGAAATATCGTTTTAGGAAAATTTGTTCATGTTACGGAGTTCTGGAGTACTCCATCAATAATGACCAAAGTCTCTTCACAGTCCTTTAGAACTGAAACTATCAGAGGATAGGCCTCCTCGTCTGCACTTGAAGAAGGGCAAACAAGCTCAACGGATAGAATTTGGTCCGCTTGACTGGCTCTCGATTTCTCGTTCATCACGTCCAGACGTAGATATTCTACCAGCTTTTCATGCAGGCGTACTATAAGCCGCTTTCGCACTTCGGCGAGTAATTTGGTATTGGAACTGAAATATAACACATGAAAAAAAGTACTTATAAACCTCTTAGCACTTACCAGTTGCGAGTGAAGCTCCGAATAAGACGCAGCAGTGATGCATAAAAACTTCTTGAATCAACAATGTCGTCATAAATGACGTCTTCTAAAACTCCAAAAACGCTCCCCAACTCATCCTCAAAAACCTTCTCATTCAAATGATGCTCGAATTGATCTAGCAACCATGCCAATGCTTTCGACTCGTTTGCTGTCTGCAACGATAACTTCTACTTCTGCCGAAACGACAAGAATACAGAAAAAACCGAGACCATAAATATATGCATTTACGAGTATAGCCTCTTTTACCTTGCTGGTAATTCCAAAAACAATGTTTTTCAGAAGAAGGGCTCGAGGTTGCACCGGAAAATACGATATGATACCCTGTAACATTGCCATAATAGCAACTCCACGTGTCTCTGAACCGATATCGTCAATGAATCGTAGCAAAAGCAAGAACATCTCTTGAAATAAATCAGCTCAATAAATATGAGACGAATATCAACCAAATAGCAAATAACCGAGTAAAGTTTTATATGAGAAGTGCGAATTTCTGGGCAGTCATTGCTGAGCTTAAGGAGAAAGCGAAGGGCATTAGTCAGCGATTTAACAGAGCCATCGGTCCTAAAACTCTATTGTCAACTAGATTAAAAACAGATTCAAGATAGATAGATAAACTTGCGGCGTTTCAATGTTAGCTACATATTCACAGATCCCCTCAGTTAGCCGTAATCGTAAGTATCGCTGATCGTATACGTTTGGAATGAATACCGCAGGCTTAGTATGACCCACTAAAAGACCAGATCGCAGTACAGTACTAAAAATAGCCTCTTATTAAGTAAACTCAACCCACCTAATTTTGGAGAAAATGGGTGTTCTCTGGCGTGCCAAATAAGGAACGGATAAGTTGCTGCTTCTTCCATAGGAAGTTCGCTGAGTATGCGATCAACAAGGCGACCAAACCTTGAAATTATAGGCAGAACGTTCATGTAACAAGCGCGCAAAACTCTAGAGGCATTCTGAATTAATTCCAAGAATCTGAAAATGAACCACAGGAAGGAATGCCTCATTATCACGCGTGATATTGGACAGTATATAAACCTGTTATTCTGATGGGAGGGGCACATTACGTTTCCATGTGAATTCTGTGCGGTCGGTCTTCACACGACATACTCAGTGGAAGACTCATAGAAAGCGGTGAGTGTGCAGAGCTGTGTTAAATGTGATTGAAATCTTGGTTTAGAGTTTTCTCTGTTTGGTTATGGAGGTGTTTGGCCGAATAAGTTGCTGTCAACTTGACCTTTCCAGGCTCTGTGGAAGGCGAAATCCGCCGAAAGCTTATACGTCAGCTTATACGTAAATAAAGAAATAAAATAGCACCTCGTGTTTGCTGAACAGACGTTGACTAAATTATTCAATCAATGCCGAGGTTAACAGAAAGTCGGACTTGGGAGTTCATGTAACAATTAGGGCACCACTGAAAAGATATCAATGTATGACCTCTTTTACTTATTTAACTTGGATATTTGGATAGCTTGTCTTCACTAGTTATACGCGCCTCAACATAAATTCTACTTTACCAGAGTTTTGCTGGCTAAGCCATTATGGTTACCTGAAGTCCCGAGTTCAGCCTAGACAAAGTCTGTCCCAGCTCGTCACCACAGGCAGTCGCCACCCTTGCGGATTAGAGCGGATTAGCGGATCGTTTTCGGACGTTCAAATAAACCTATCAAGTAGCGGTTACCTGACAAAGTGGTACCGAAAGCCAAGTAACAAGAACATCCTCGTTCATTTCCTTTCTTCCCACCCTTCACACATAAAGGGGGCGATTGTGAGAAACATTTTTCGAACAGGCACCTCTGTGTGCACTACCAGGGAACTGAAGGAAGAATCGCGCGACTTGGCTCGACAAATAGACATCTCCAATGGCTACGAAATAGTAACCCCACGAGATAAGTTTACAAGGAGAACGACGCGCCCACGCGAAACACTTGGCCAAAACGAAATCCCGTTTATGTTGCCTTTTATAAGAGATGAAGTAAGCGAACGATGCTTAAGAAGGGCAGGTCTAGAGGAATCGGTAGCTATAGTTGAAATACCACCGGCTACTCTACGTCGCCAATTAGTTCGCAACCGCCTCTGTGTGAAACAACAAATTGCGTAATTTGCCCTTACGGCAGGGACTGTGATTGCATGAGTTCAGGTACGATATACCTGATCTCTTGTAATAATTGCGGAGATGAATATATTGGCGAAACGGGCAGACCTTTGTGTATCCGTATAAAAGAACACCTAGATGGCAAGCGAAACTAAGACGAAGCACCCCACTAGGCACGCATAGGATACAAAAGCATAGCGTAGACGATTTTGAAGTAAAGTCAATAACTTTGCACAGGAGTCCAAAACACCAGCGCGAAAAGTGCTTGAGGCCTTTTGGATAAATGCCAAAAACCCTACAATGAATAGCAGGGATGAATGTCCGGAGGTCATACGCGACCTGATCCCGTCTGTTCGCATCGATTTTTGATGTGGGATGGTGCAGTCGTCAACCATATGCGACTATAATCAGCTGTTCTAAACTTCCTCATTGGAAGTCACGAAAAAGCGGTGGGTTTTTCAAGAAGTTGTTGATCATGTAATTACCGGAGAGTTCTTCGTCTTTTTGTGTTATTGAAGCGTTTGGCCTAGTAGATTGTATATCAGTATACCCTTCCAGACTCTGAAGAAGGCGATACTGCCGAAACGTCAGCTAGCGTTGTATTGTATTGTGTTTTTCTATGGAAGTAAGTGTATGCTGTTTAAAAACCTCGCGATTGCTGAACAAGAAAACGACACATTCATATGTTTTAAGCGTTAACAAAACCTTACTTGTGCGGAACTCGAAAAGGAATTTTTTCAAAGAAGCGAAGAACATGGGCAGCTTCTATAATTGCAGACATAGCATCCTCGTCTTTGTTTGCTAATCTTTGACAAAGTCGTTGTTCCAACTTCAGTGGTAATTCATCGCACAATTGGCTCCATAACTTCGGGCTAAACATGTTACAATGAAGCATCGGAGTCGTTGTTAAATCTATGGATCACTAAAAATTATTCATTTGCTAAACTGAACTGACTGTTGCGTCTGGAAAACTGTGCTAATTAAAGTTCCTAATTGAGACACAAGAACCTCCGTGAGCTCAGGTGATGTTCGCAATGTGAGCAGTTCGTAGCATAAACGGTATTTCTCTTCCACGGACAACATTAAACTAAAAAACTCACCAACAATAATTACGAGAGTCCATAGACTTTTACAAAAACTACTGACCTGAACAATCCCATAAGTAGGTCCTTCAGATGAGGATTGTCTTCATTTCCAAAACTATAAGCGACTTTGTAGATCAGGTCTGGAGCGAAACCTTCCAGCACTCCTAGAACACTCAGTAACTTTGAGACATTATTGTTACTACAGTCAGTCACTGACCCATTCATATGACAGATTTTCCGATAAATCCTTGGAACCTTTAGTTCATGAACCACTTCCAAATTTGTACCATTGCTCTTCCTAAGTCAGGTATTGTGGATCTCTCACCGTTTTCTTCTTGAGCCACAGATTTCGTTAACGCAGTCGCATCCCCGTACCTCCGATCTTCAATGAGTTCCAGCAAATGTAGTGCCCGCTTCAAAAAAGCCATTCTTCATTACAAATGGAGGCAAATAGCTCATTCGTATTCTTAGATCCTTCTCGAGCTATTTCTTTGAAATAAAAACCTTTGATTTGAATAGTCAGCTTCACTTCCAATAAATGAAAACGTCCTAGCAATTTCTTTAAAGTTTCACGATTCTTACCCTAAGTAAAGACTGAATAACAGAAATTACAAGAAATTCACGAAAAAGAGCACACAACATTTTATAAATCAGCGCTTTATAAAAACCAGAAAACCACGATCATCGAATAAAAGTCACACATATAATACCTGTGAGAGGAAATTTGCTTGTATATCAAAGCTTTAACAACTATCACAACTAAAATACCTCTTTAATGGAAGTTCGTTTCCAAAATAAAACTTCTTTTAAATCACGAGGAAAGAAAGGAGAACGACGACCGTCATGAAACGACAGTACTCGAAAATGTCAACAAGTGGAACATACAGAGAGCAATTGTGGCGGAGATCACTTTCCGGCCGTGGCTTCAGCGGCCCGACGAGCTGCCGCTCGCTTGCCAACCATGGCAGTGAATCCGCTTTTGATTGCGGTCACGGAACATCGGGACCCGCACGTGTGACACTGCAGGAAGAAGAGTCGGGTGTCTTTCGTTAACTCCGTATCTGATGAACGACAGGTATGGCACATGACGTACTCCTCTGAAAATTTCCATCTACTGAAAGAAAACGTGAACGCAAAATTTAACAGCACTGTAGAAAAAGCAATATTCTTACTAATATATTTCCTCAGCACACTTTCGAAATGTTTTTGTTGGAACCGACCCTTCACAATAAGGCAATTGTTACCATCAATAGAACCAGTAGTACCTAAAAACAGTCATTCTGACGACGTATACGAGAACGGAGCGCGTGAAGAGCACTGCCTAGAGATGTCATACACTGGCAAGGTCGCTAGTTCGACTCTACCCTGAACCAACCACGCTGTTCTCTCTTCCTCAATGGTCGACAAATCAAAGCCAGATTTTCTGAAGAAAAAAAGCTGCCTCAGAAACACGAAATCCGCCACACTTGTGGTGAGTAGTTGGAATAATTCCGTTTGAGCGCTGTGACCTTCGCTCAGAAGAGAATTTAGAAACTCCAAAATAATGTTAGCCCAGCATTCTAAATATAGTCGATTCGACAAACACTAAACATTCATAAGGACGGTCGGAAATCTTCAACGTTCAGTCGAACCCACACGAAAACGGAAGACCTTCATAGATGACCTACGCGAGGAAACAAATTGATCCAAGAAACTGTTGGGATTCGCACAGTATATCAACATTTACCGTAGCTCTAGTTACATCTTCATAATGTCCGTACTGAGGTTTCTATAAGACAAGAGATCGAATGGAAATAGGAAGACTTTTCTAAGGCACGCGATTAACTCACCAAGCTCAGCGAGAAGGAACTGTAGAACGTGCTTATCCTGGCGTTTCATTAACCTACAAATTTCTGCAAAGTTGGAAAATGCGGTTTTCTTACTGCCTGCCCGAGCTACCTAAAAGTGTCAGGATATTTATGTCCTGCAGAGACTCAAAAAAAGTTACGGATAGAAAAAATTACCTCTGGCGGCTTCATGGCAAACTTCTTCTTTTCACCCGAAAGTTCGGGATTCTTTTCCCGCATGATGTTGAAAACTAGCGTTAAGCATTCGTCGTAGGTATAATCAGGCCACGGTCGGGTAGCATCGATAAGATTTGATATCCCAATACCGATACCGTAAATAAAACAATGGATAAAAATCAAAGATAGACCGAAGAACCCAAAAATCGTACCTAAATCCGTGATGCCATCATCCCTTTTCTCTTCGTCTTCTTCAACCTTTACCTTCTTCTTCTTTCTCCCTCCAAGTTTGAGCTCACCTTTAATTTATTTAATAAGGTAGAAATCAATGTTAACGTCACTTCTTAAATCACACCCTCATATTATAGCTGCCCTTAAACAAGAAATAGTTAAAGTTTCGACACGAAGCATCGGGAAGAATTTAAAAACTGATATTCAAAAATCTTGTACCTTCTAGAAAAATCTGTATGAAATAAAAACTATTACTACTTAACATTGGAACTTTAAACTAACACTCGATTCACAAACCCAAGTCATCAGCCATTGTGTCCGGCGTAGCTTGAGGCTCATCATCATCAAGTTTTATCACTTTCCTCGTTTTCTTCTTTTTGCCAAGATTAAGTTCCTGAATTACGAAAGATAAGGTTTATCTAGCCCGGCATGAGATGACATGAGGCAAAATAATAGAGCAGTGCATAGAACCTTAACAAAATGGGAAACCTACAAGGTCATCGTCTGCCATTGCTCAACGAGAGGGTGTCCTGAAAAGAAAAAAGGCACGTGAAAAGGAAACAGTGAGAAAAGAGGAATAAAGAGAGGTGCACTTGACACAGTTACAAACAACAGCCAAATCCAGAAAGCATCCAGAACTGAAAACACGACGGCATAAGGATAACCAAAGGCGGGTTCCTGTGCATTTTTTCCGCGTTGACAACTTCGGTTTGGACGTGACTGCAGACGACCCGTAGAATCGCACGCCCAAGCATGTAAACTAATCCTGGGCTCTCCGTACCTGTTGGCACGTCGCTACCCGGTAGTTGGGTTGAACTGTTCGGTCGGTGGGATTATGATTCGGATGGGTAGAAGTGCGTTCGGGTTCTCGTCGGAGGAAGTAGCTACCATGTAACTTGGGTTATTCTTAACGCCTATTGCTGTCCTGACGCATAGGTACGAATAAGAAACGTATTTTGTGGCTTAGGCTTCACTCCTAGATGATTCTGTGGCATTCCATTTCACATGTGACACTGGAAATGTTTGGGAAATTTTTTACTTGCCAAGAATTTCTTTTAAGTTTTGGAAAATTTCGCCATTTTTAATAAACTAGGGGAGATTTGTGGGACCTTTCTGGGCTATCTATCTAGTTCCGATCTTCTGCTTTTCCATTGTAGTCCCCATCGGTGAAACTCATGAAGAAGTAGGAATCAGGTAACAAGGAGGTAATGCCGATGGTCAGCAGCTGAACTATGTTCTCTTTGCTGATGATATCGTCTCTATAACGTGAAATATTGGCCGATTTAGCAGATGCTTGTGTGAGAACTAACCCTTTGTGATGTAAAACTGGATACTAAGATCTGATAGCACCGAAGTGGAATAGGCGGTGTTTATTAAGTCACAAAGACAGGTTGGGAATGTTCCAGAAACATGGGTGAATCCATGAAAGAATACAGAGCGTAAGAGAAAATTTAACGAAGTATTTCAAAACCGAGCTTCCTTTATACTCGGTTTAACTGATCAATATGCATTCTTTCTTTGATCAGCTTACAGGAGGTTGATAAGCATATTTATTTGCGGCTAAGGTTTCGACGTCTTCGTCTTCGTCTTCATCAGAGCCGATGATCCGAGTCGATGGTCCTCGCTTGTTCTTCGTCTCGATGTGGCGGTTTCGCTTTCGTTTCGAGTCAGGTCTTCCTCAGCGGGTCATCTCCTCGAATGACTTTAAGGAAGTCATAGAAATGAGCGAAAGGTACGTGGAAATACGAAATCGGTCAGTGAGCTGTCATAACATCTACTGTGCGGATGCCAGCACTTCTTGCATTAGATTTGTTTTCAGCGCACTCACCGTCCACAATGGTCTTCGAACATTTAGCGTGTTGTTTCAGCTCCAGCTTGAGGATTTCGTCTTCTCCATGAATGTCGTAGAATGCTGGTCGAGTCAATTCTCCTTCCAATCTTGGACATATCCGGGCTAAGACGTTCCCACATGGATTGTAGGAGAGCGTTGGGAGCGGTCGAACTGTCGCCCAGGCTTCCCGATCCACGATATCGTGCTTGATTGAGTGCACATCGCACGTGGCGACAAATCATGCGTCGTCCTATGAGGCGACAAAATGGGGTATGACCGCGAATTCGTTTCCACTATTCTGCGTTTGCTCCTTATAGGCTCTGAGTTTACTGATCCATTGGTGTATGCTTAGTCCTCTTTAAAATTTACACAACCAGCCACGGCAGTGAGGCTTTCGAAGCCGGTCTATCAAAGACTAGTATAAAACAAATAACTAAAAATCAAAAGCATTTAAAAAACACAAGCACAGGATAGATTTCATCTTCTTCGTCCATTTATTAATAGAGGACGGTTGCGATGAAGTGAATCTTTACAATAATTTGTCGAAGTCTCAGAAGCAAGTGCACTTAAGCGGCCTGCATGAGCAAGAACGCATTCGCAACCCAGATCAATTGAAACGATCAGGATCAGTGCAAAGCTGTAGTCGTTGTACACAGACCACTACAGTAAGCAGTCATTTTTGTGTGAAACGCGTACACGCCTTGGTCGATAAACCTGGACAGCATGACGTTGGTTTCCGCATCATCAAATGCTTTCTAGCAGTCAGCGAAGATTAAGACAAGCCGTATACGACATTTTTGCAGAACTCCAGAACCTTGAAAGTTCTTCGAAACAGTCCATGCGGCTAAATACCTTGGGAGTTTCAGCTTGGTGTATAGGTTGGGCCTTATCCAAATCCTTCCATTATTCCTTTATTCTTCGGAAAAAGTTTATGGACTTCACTCAATATGCAATAGCATGATAGTTACGAAGGTCGTCCTCGTTGCCTTCTTTTGCAGAGTACGGTACGCGAAGTTCTCTAGCGGTTCGATATTTGTTCCATTTGTTGATATGACGTCGTATGCTTTGAAAGAAAATAACATATACGTGGTAGTTCCTAACACGAATAGGATCGGCCGAAACGCCTAGTCGAGGAATTGTGCCAGTCCTCGAGCTTTTAATTGCAGCTCGAAAAAGATTTATCAAGGGCTTTCTATTACTTATCCCATCTTCACCTGTCACCTGTAGAGCCCCATTGATCGTCGAGTGACTCGAACAGACGCCAGTATATTTTCCATTTTTCGCTGCCACGTGCATGACTAGCCCAGTGGGTTCTGCTCGCTCTAGCAACTCGTTGAGCGTCATATCTTTCTTCTAGGCTTTTCGTGAAGAACTCTGACCATCGGGTCGGCGGTCTTCGTGCAGTGCGTTTAACATCCCGAGGAATCCAGTCACTAACGGCTCTTATCCATCGGTTGTCGTTCATACGCATTACGTGTACGGCCCACCTTATTTTCGACTGTTTGGCGTACAGAACGGCATCTTTGATTTTTGATCGGTGACGGAGATCAGAGCTTCGGATCCCATCTCTTACTTGTGTGGAACGGGATACTCCAAGCATCGTCCTTTCGACTGCCCGTTCGATAACCTTCAGTGATCTGTCATCGTGGTTACGCAGCGACCAGGTTTCTGACGCAAACGTTAGGGCAGGAAGTACCGTTGAGTCGAAAAGGTGGGCATAGAGTTGGGTGTTCTTTGTTCTCTTCACCACATCCTCGATGCTCTTGAAAGCTCCCCAAGCCGCTCGTTTTCGTCTCCTCAGCTCTGGAGCTAAGTTATTCATCATATTGATTTCCCGACCTAAATAGATATAACTGGAGCATTCGGAGATATTCGTTCCGTTAAGCGTAAATGGGGCATGCGAAACCAATCCGTTCCTCATGAACATCGTTTTTGTGATATTTAGTCGAAGACCAATCTTTCCACAGGCTTTATCAAAGTCGTTAAGTATACGTTCCGCTTGGCTAATGTTTAGTGTTATAAGGACGGGGTCATCAGCAAAACGAAGATGGTGTAACTTTTTTCGCTCCCATACTATCCCATTCCAATGTTCGCATGACGTTCTGAAGGGTGTTGGTAAATAATTTTGGTGAGATGGTATCGCCTTGCCTAACTCCTCTTTTGACGTCAATGTTAATATCGCTGTAGAATGGTGATATCTTGGTTGTGAAATTTTTGTACAGCTCACGAAGAATCTCTATGTACTGAATAGGAAATCCTTGGCTATCAAGAGCTTCCAAGACTGCTTCTATCTCAACTGAATCAAAGCCCTTCTGTAAATTGATGAAAGTAAGACAGAGCGGTCTTTTATGCTCTCGCGATACTTCAGTGATCCTTGTTATCGTGTGGATGTGGTCCATCGTATTGAATCCTTGTCAAAAACCTGCTTGCTGAAATGGATGTATTTCGTCCAGTACTCTATCAGTCCTGTTTACAATTGCGTTTGTGGAGAGTCTGTAGACGAAAGATAGTAAGCATATTGGGCGATAGTTGCCGATATCGTGCAGCTCACCCTTCTTGAACAATAACATGGTCTTGCTGGTCTTCGATTGAGTAGGGACCTTGCATTCAGACAGGTAACGTGTGAAGAGCAGAGCCAGTGTGTTTACGAGAACTGGCGGAAAGTTCTTCAGGTGTTCTGGTCGTATTCTGTCCGGACCTGGTGCTGTTCGATTTTTCACCGGCGAAATGGCATGTCGGATTTCGGAAGAGAGAACCGGTGGTGCAACATATTCATCCCCCTTTATTTCATATGACGGAAGGTGGACCTGGCTATCGAAGAGATCCGAGTAGTATTCGTGAATGATTTTCTCTATTGCCTTTCTGGACGCTGTAACTGTTCCGTTTGGGCGCCGAAGTGCACTCATTTTGGTCTTGTAATTGGCGACGCTTCGGTGGGCTTTGCGAATACTTTTCGCACCCTCTGCAGCTTCGGCCATTACTGCTGCTCTTATCTCTTTAAGATCTTCTTTTATCGCCTGACTGCAGTGTTTTGTAAGTCCGGACGTTAGTTCGCGGTTGCCGGCTGCTCATGCGATTCCACGCTGGCGTATCAGCTCGGGTGTTTCTGGAGACAGACGTCTCTTGGTGACTTTCGAACTCTGAGATTTCATACCGCTGACGTGAAGATGTTGAATGAGCCGATCGTATTCTTCGTCGATGTTATCGACAGCGGCGTCTTCCCAACAGCCGACTAATGAACTGAACAAATCCCAGTTTACAGTGGTTCTGGGACTTCGGTTTTGGAATTTAGCGGCTTTTTCTCCTTTCCGCGAGAAATAGACTCTTGCACGAAGGAGACGATGGTCTGATCCCATGTCGAATTTTGGGACAACAGCGACATCGGTTAGGCAAAACCTTCTATTTACTATGATGTGGTCCATTTCGTTATGGTACTCTCCATTGGGAGACTCCCACGTCCAGCATTGAGGGTGGGACTTCTGGAATTGCGAGTAACCATGGATTGTCTTGATCGCCGTGATTAACTTACAAAGCCTCTCACCCTGTTCGTTCCATTCTAATCCGTGGGTCCCAATGTGACGTTCTTCGGACGTTCTTCTTGGTCTAATCATGGCGTTGAAATCTCCAATGTGGTGAAGAATGAAAAGGTGAAAAGAAGAACCTTGAAGAATGTGTGGTCTTCTCTGTAGAACTTCACCAAGTCCATATAGAACGCTTCGACTTTTTCTTCGTCATAGTTTGATGACGGCGCGTAAACGACGAAGAATGTCAAAGCCGGAATTGATCCACGTCTTTTTAATCGTAAACATCCGATTCGGGTTGTAAACTGTTCGAATGAATCGGTGTTCGTGGACAAACTCGTGTTAACGAGAACACCGACGCCGTCGACTCTACTGTCGCATACTAAAAGGAACAGTTCTCCGCTGTCGTATGTTCCAAGGAACAGTTCTTCTCCGGTGTCATAGACGGCGTTGAAAGGCTGGCGTCCTCTCGTCTCGGCCAGGCCGATGACGTCGTACTTTATCCTTCTTGCTTGCATGAGCGTCTTCTATCCAGAACTCGGATGCAGGTGTTCGTGCATTGTAGGTACAGATCGTCACCATAGTTTCTTGAAATCCAGGCAGCTTCCATTGGCCCTGAGATTTTAGCATCCTCTCCGTACTCGTCCTACCCAGCACTGCGAAATTGGGGGCTCTTTCGGGGTCAGAGGAATGAGGCCCGTTCTTTTTACCGCGTGTAGCATTCTTTGATACACACGTATAGCTTGCTGGGCTCTGAACATGAGGGCTGGGTATACTCAAGGGTAGCTTACCAGGCTCTCCGAGAGTGGACGTGAAGCTTATTTGTATTGCAGGCGACTCCTTACCGCCTCCGATATACTTCCCAGTCACTTGATTGCAGGCTTTTGGACGAATTGACTCGTAGAATGCAATCCGCATAACCAAAAACGCACCCACACACGCATGCATGAATACGCCTAGCAAATACAGAAAGTATGTGCCAAATCAGCGCAACAGAAACAGGGAGTTCATTTCTGGATCCACCTGCGTCTCAGGGAAGCAAAGGTCGCTTTTGGTCCGCGATTACCCCCCTATCGCCACCTGGGGACGCGCCACGTAACCTCGCGACTAACCGGCTCGAGATCCCTCATATGAGGGATATCCGTGGCGGCTGTGTTATAGGAGATATCTCAAATTACTTCGCGCTTGTAACCAACTCGTCGCCAGTGGAATACTCTCGTGCGGAGAGTTGGTTTTGCAAATTTTGATGTGCGGACTGTAGCTGCTCTCGGTTGTCATCTTGTACAACACCTGTGGTATGATTGCTATCTGGTAACCGGGCACAACGAAAAACCCCTGTGTAGTAAAATAAGCGAATGGCAAAAAAATGGGTGAAAGTCAATTCATACCATTCAGTCTTGACTGGGAGTAAACTCATATCGGCCTCCAAGTGTTAAAGGCACCAATTTAAATGGGGAAAACAAAAATCCCCAGAACTTTTTTATTGTTTCTCTTGCCTGATGTAACAAGATTGCATTTGTTCAGCAAGTGAATTAAGAAGTTGATTAAAAAAAACCTTCCTAGCAAAGTCCACGTCAGGTTCGACCCAAGTTAACATGACGCACTAATAATAAATTCTATTGATAAGCTTCACTAAAAGAAGGGAATCCAACATTATACGCGGCATGAATGCAAAAATGAAGTGAGCCCGAACCTTCGTCTAAACCTCTAAAACACATTTTTTTTTCCTTTTTTTCATTTTTCTGCAAACACAACTTAATATTCATGGGCAGGTGTAGCGTACTGGTTAGAGTACCCTTCAATGAAGACGTCGTTTTTTGGTTTGATGTAGTTCCTTGAGCTAATCGAACCTCGCCAGCATTGAACAATTTCAATCTGCCTTCTTTGGAATGCTGAAAAAACACGAATTTAATACATCGGCTGGATCCACCGAGCCATTGTGCAGGCCAAGTAAGCCTAATGGGCAATCCCTGCGATACCTCATGCAAGTGAATTCACAGCGCACCTTTGAGAGACTGGTCAACGTCGGTCATTTTACTTTTCAATTCCATATTTCAGAAATGAAAATAAAATTTGCCGTCGCCACGAGTCTTTTAGAAATATCTATCTTGGGTCGTTTATGAAAGATTCCAACTGACACAGGAAGTACATGACACTTTTCTCTCTTTTCCCTTCCCTCTCTTTTCTTTCACTGATGGTATAAAATCGAGGATGTATCATCTCTTTTAAAAGGAAGCACTTTTGGTGAGACGGTGAACAGCTTTGTGTCAAGCTATCTGCGGTTTCTGGCCGTGGATTTGAATTCATTATCACTAAGGTCAAATACAACTTCATTAATCAAGTAAGAGCCACAAAAGTCTTCATGATTTTGTCAACAAGGTACAGGTCTATTTATTCCAGTAGTTCAGTTCTGGAAGTGACGAATTCTTCGATGACATTGGCAACAGCGGTTTTGCTATCGATGATTCTCTCAGCAGGTAGCTGTTGAGATGCTTGCAAAGGTAGTACCTAGCAAGCTGTAGGCCTGATAAGTGTGATGGGTTAGAAACTATTCTCTATTACAACTCGTTCAAATTCTGCACCTGTGGTTGCGCAACGTGTGACCGACTGTCGTCATACCAGAGGAATGAACCTTCTCTATTGACACTGTCTGGATGAATCAGCTTCAATTTTTGCCATACTGACCTTTCAAACGAGTTACCTCAGAGAGTGCTAAGGAACTTCACCTTAGTGAAATCCTTCATCGCTGAATTGAATGTCGTCAATTATCGTGTGCCACCAAATTCCCATCGTTTGTAGCGGTCTCGTCAGGAAATAGGTCGTTTTTGTTGCGTACAAGAAACTAAGAACAGACTTTGTAACGGCCGTCTGACTGTTCATCATTCAATTCCTACGGCATACCTTTACCGGGTCTCTTCACCTCTGCGATGCCTTCCAAATGACTAACGACCGCTGAGTCATGGGTGCGGAAGTCACCTAGAATCCCTTAAGTAGTTGTCGGAGCGGCGGCTCGACTGTCGCCTTCAGATGGTTGACGTCCACCGATGATACACACCACCTTCTTCAACGTGTGGACTCCTAATCCTATATCCGATATGAAACCTTAAGAACGATTGCTTCATTGTGCGTGCGAAAACCTTACTCGTGCTCTGTTGAAATCTCGCTACTGGCGCTTCCAGTTTTGACCTCACTAAACAAAGTGAAGCGATTTTATACCTTGAGAATATCATTTGAACCGGCTTAGAATCGTTGTGAACTATGTTTCAGAAAAAGTTTTGCACGGACAATTGTCGAGCAAGAGTTAGAACAGCTTCAAAACGATATACAGTAACGCTGTGAGCAACCAATTATTATTAATATTATAGGGTTGAACTACGAATTTTACGATGGGGAAATCCGTGATAATTTTTTCGTCAGCCTAATGGGTGGCGTAGCACAGTGGAGTGACCTCGGCCCAGTTCTTGCGTAACGACGTCCACCCGTCTGCTCGCAAGAAGCTGTTCCAGGATCGTTCCGCTCATTCCGAATCAGGAGGGAGCGTGTTGTCGACAAGCTTACCAACTTTTCCTATTTAGAAATATAGAATTTTTTTTCACAAATCTTTAGAAGTTGGAGGTTAAATATGAAGGTAGCGTAAATTGACCAGTAGAATAGGATTTTTTGCTATCTGTACGGTTTTCTATGTGGTCCTGGATGAAGGCTACAATTTTAAAGTTCAGCTGCTGCCCATAACTGGTTGTGAACAAGGGTTCCTTGATGCTCCCTCATATTTCTTCCCATGAAGTCCGAATACTTTCCTTTTCGTCAGTCGTAGTCGTGGATAGTTTGTCTTCTTTTAACCCTGCCAACAACGTCCACTTCTTCTTTTTACAAAATTTTACCACGTGATGGCAATGATCTGCTGAGGTGTGGCAGTCATAAGGTCGAATGAGTTCATCGTCCAAGTCCGCCTGAGTGTCCTCCTGGAAACAAAGCATCAACGTTCGCAACTCACCCTTTCCAAAGAAGGGAAAATTCCAGGGAAATAATACAGGTCACAGAAGAAACCGCTGGGGATAGGGCAATGTGAAAAGGTCTTCTTTTAAGACATATTCACTCTCTGACTTTTAAGAAATATCGGTTAATGAATTTGAAGTTCTTTTCTGACTGTTCGCCTCATTTCGTCCGTTTTGTGATCTCTGATCAGCTGTTTTTGCGAACGAACGATTCCATTGCATTCGGCGTCTTACTGGTTCGGCTGGTGCATTCCCCAGAGGCTTCCTTCCTTCTGCACATCCAACCCCACGAATCCTCCATGAGTCGCCTCTGCCCTTCCTCCCACTCAGTGCAGTTTGTCCGGGAGAAATTCCATTTGGGCCTTTTCCATCGCCGTTCTGACCCAGTTCCGTCGTTCGTTTCACCTCCGACCGAAATCGATTCTGATCTCTTCCCGCGCAGAGCGCGGTCGTTTTCAGATCTGGCAGGCGGCTATCGATCGGGTTTCTCAATCCGATGCCATTCATTTCGATATCCCGAGTCGTCCACGAAGGCCTCGTTAACCCTCAGCGACATGTACAGGTCCCTGTTTATTCCTATCCTACTAACCTCCCTCTTCTACGTATCGACGGCTGCCGACTGTCCAAGTCTACCGTCAACTTGCGTTTGTAACAAGGAAAGCAATGGCAGAATCTCTGTTGCATGTGAAGGAGCCCACCTACCGAGTTTATTTAAGGTAAGCGTTTTCTTGTATTTTTACGTGTTCCTTTTTCTTCGAGACTTTTCCAGAAATCTGAAGAACCTTATTTCAAATCCAGACTATTGTTTCGTTTTCGGGTCCATATTCCTCTTTTGTGATAACGTTTTCTTTGTTGAGAACATCATTTCAATGTGATAGAGGTTTTGTTGTTGTTTCTAGTTGTACTTCATAAGAATAAGCGCCATTTCTGTTAGCCATTGCTGAGATTCTAATGGAAGGACCTTTGGCTCGTGGGTTAGTGATGGAATATTTGATGACTTTTAGTTGGGGTTATAATATCCAACACATTTGTTCATGCAAAGAATCGTCTTTCTTGTAATTTCAAAGGCAGGTGCGTGTTTGCTATGTAGTGGTAGGGAATTGAACCACTTTTAAGCACTCTAACTAGTAGTGAATTAATTAGGGTAGTGGTGAAATTAAATAGAACAGAAAGAAAAGAAAAACCGAGAGCTTGGAAAAAACGTAACCCCATTTACTCCCCTAGTGCGGCCGATAAATTCCCTTTCACTGGATGGCGAACTCGCTGGCAATACTGAACGGGTCAGGTCTAGTTGGTTAATCATGGTTCGCTGATCCAAGGGGGTACCTGTAGACCGGTCGAGGGGCTGGCGATTAGCTGTTGACGACCACTCGCTGGTAGGGATCAACTGCTCGTGTATGACTCGTCCATTTCCTGTGACGGAAGCCCCAACAATTACTGCTGTAAACGGTGGACGCTGCTGTACTGTAAATTTTTTAAGAGAACCAAGACGTTTGTTGGCCTACGTTTCTTGGAAATTTAGTATGTGGTCGCAATTTAAGAATAAATTCTGAACACTTAGCGGAGTGGTATCCCATACCATACCTTGCTATATACAGCTTGGGGCAGGGATAATGCAGGGGTTAGTGATGCCGTCCATCAGGAACCAAAGGCCATAGTTCGATTCCTACTCCAACGCTGTGCTCCAATCCGCATGGGCACGCCTTTGCCGGCATGTCTCCAAGATTGCGAGAAGGATCGACTTGACCATCATTCAATGACATTCAGTGAAAATGAAATCCTCAAGCGTGGTTGAAACAGTACGTGAAATGTTCGAAGACCACTGCGGACGGTGAATGAGAGGAAACGAATCGAGTGCAGGAGGTGCTGGGATTCCCGCAGTAGGTGTGATGACGGTGCTGATAATATATATGTATGCTTGTATATATATATATACATATATACCCATATATTCGTACTTTTTTATCTACTGCCGCTACAATTTTCACGGCAGGGTATTATGCGAAATCAACTACAATGATGCTGAGATATTTGCAAAACTCCGGACCGCTGGTGTCTGCGGTGGAGACCAAACACGCTATTACCTTTTCCGAGGGCTAACGCGTTCACCACCGTACTTTGCGCGTCCTTCGTTTCGCCTTTTTCTCAGCTAGTTTTTTAACCACAGGCTGTCGCAGCCCTTGTGTATCAGAGGTAGATTCGCCACCATGCGACTTTCATGTCAGGACGGTGGTGGATCCTGGTATTGGTTTACTCTTAGCTAGGCTTCCTAATGGAAACGCCGGACCACTTCTCAGCTTGGTAAACCTTGCCAGGAGGATAAATCCCCTCGCTGTACATCGCAGCCCGACACTCAGGAACACCTCCCAGCCACGATGAGGCGATAAACTGTTGGGAGGAAAATTCTAGCATAGCCTTGCTAATGTGTTCGAGCGCGGATTAGATAGCGTAAGTTTCTCTCAGGGAGGTCTGGTATCAATTTCCCGATCAGAGAGATGAGAGGCTTAGTGAGGCCACGACGCGGTTGGACCAGTATTTGGTGGGTGAGGCCATCACTTAATGGTGAGGACCACTACCACTGCGCCATCTGCTTCCTGTATGTACATTATTTGTCGAAAAGTTTATGGCAGCTATGGAAAATCATGCATAGGTCGTTATGCGTTGACATATGGTGGACAATACGCATTGCATACAATCGTAGGTGGACGGAAATAGTTGCAATCTAAAAATATTTCAGATTGTTGCGAACCTTATAAATTGGAATTGAAATCGATAGAATTTGCAAATCTCTGCCAAGATTATGTAGGTTTTATTATTTTAGAACGATAAGATCTTGATCTTCTGGAGCGTGTGGACCTATTTTCCGCTTTTCTTCGTCAAGGCTCACATTTGGAGCAATTATGCGACTGAGTAGGCGGTATTTCCTATGGAAGGGCAGCATGGTGCTCGTCAGTCCGGTTGGCTGTTTGCATCTGCCGCGCTTGGGTTAACGGTTTTTATAGTGAAAATTTCGGCTTCAGTTTTTTGGACAGTTTTATCCTAAGTATACATAAAGTCGCAAGAATCTTGTGTAGAAAATCAGATGCAATTTTTCGACTTCGAGCTTCAGACATTTCATACTGAGGGGACATTTCAAAAAAAATGTTGTGTGGCTAGAGCGATAGGGCGGGACCTCTCACTTAAGAGTACCTAGTTATCTAGTATCTAGAGTAATCTCCTCAACAGCTCTAGTTATCGGCAGACCATCGATTGCTGTCATGGAACCATCGGCCTTCAAGAGTTAATTTGTGTTTCTTTATATTTTTCCTTAATTCGTGGCCTGCATTTAAGGTTTGCTTCTTTGAGTCTTAACTTTCACAATGAGGGGTTCGATTAAAATCGAAAAAATGTTGAAGGAAAATGTCTTGAAGCAGTAGACCTGAACGCAGCACGTTGTTAGAATGTTTTCTAGCTTAGGCAGGGGTTTTTCTTATGTTAACAGAAATATGTTAACGCACAGCTTTTCCGTCCTTGTTCTTGCAATTACAAGAGGTCATCAACAGGCCCTACTACTTTGTTATGACTCGACGAACTCAGTGCTGGGTAGTTCGATCACTTTCAGGATATCGGTTCCACCAGCATTGAACAACTAAAAGTGTCGAAATGTTCACAGAGAGTGCTGGACCTACTGCCTGAGGCATCAATCCGATCGCTGGCTATTACTAATTGCCAAATAACCTCCATTGATCCCATGGTACGTTTGGATTTTCTTATAATTTCGAGGTCCTGAAAAGTGCTAAAATCCTGCTTATAGTCTTCGGTACTTTTTACTACATGCTAGATGTGCAATGTTTTGTTTTCCTTCGTATGGTAATGTGTAATGGAGAGTTTTCTCGAATCGTTCCACGTTGGCTGTTTTATATGCATTGAGGTTTAGTGGAATTCCACATAGTTTTGCCATGCTGAAATCATCTTTCTTAACTGTCGGATATCTACTGTGAGCCAACTGAATACTGTGGTGGGGAAATCGATAATAAAGAAAAAAGAATGGTTGGAAAATAGGAATCGAAGGACGGGAATTCATAGGAACAGACGCGTGTAGGTATACTACTTTTGTTACTCAACGTGTTTTTTAGTTATAAATTTTACTTTTCTGGAACTAAGCACAGTACAGTGATGGCTTGCTTGGGAGAAGTTTATGTTAAACCATTCCTTTGAAGTTTTATCAACCATGCAACATAACTTCCTAGCCATCAACGACTGCCGATTTCCCATCGGTTAGGGGCCTGCAAAGATTCGCCTGCATTGTGAAATTGCCCTTTTTTGTGAAATGGTCATTTTTGTTGAATACAGCAAATCTATTCCTTAGGCTTATGTTATGTTCAGTGAAAAGAATGGTAACTGAATAGGGCGTGCTCACGTATTTTTTTCCATTATCAGAGAAAGAACGGAGGTGCGTTCTCAGTTGCTGAATGTTTTGGTGTGATAAGCTGACTGGATCGGGCAGGCGTTTTGATGGAAAAGAAATTATTTGAATCCATCAAACTATAGTACAAGCAACACCTAGCTGTGCAGAATCCGAGCGTAGAAAATGCTTACGCGATATGAATAATTTGATTTTAAATATTCTGTGCTTCAGGGTACTCAGTAACTATTTTATCTATAAACAACATACTATCAAGTTCTTCAATAATAAAATTCCGTTCCTCGCTGTTTCAATGGGAAGATGATTTCTCATAAAAGAGCAGTCCACTGAAAATTGCTACCAAGTGTTGTCCTAGCTAATCGGCAGACAATGAAAGCAGTGTCTCCGGTGTGGTCACCAAGTTTTATAAGAAACAACGAGAATAATGACGACATCAATCCCATTAATCCACTCTTTCTTTGAAGAAAATCACGTATTACACTGTGATCTACATGCTTCCTTGTCAAAAGAACTAAATGACCGCTTTCATAAAAAAATGTTCTCTCGAGGATTGACGTGGTTAGAAATCATGTCTCCTACTCAGATTCGCTAAAAAGTACATAAGAAGTACATATATGTCAACGTCACTCCGACGCCCCAAATTACCGTTGTATCCACTGTGCATTGGGATCAATGCATCTGTTGCAGTTGTCGATTCACAGTGCTACTTCAATACGGAATTAGTGTATGTAACAGTCTGCGAGCTTGACTTTGAACACTCTTGTGCACTTCTCACCAAATAGTTTTCTTTCATACCTGGTATAATATCTCCTTCGGATAAGTTATCGACTGGATACTAGAGATGTAGAAAAAAACTGCAATAAAACAAACCAACGGATTCCGTATGAATTGAAACTAATGCATATAGTTAATTATATGTTAGACATTGGTTATAATTGTTCTGCAAGAGCGTTGGTACGTAGTTTTCTGCATTGTAGTTTCACTACCGTAATCAATGCGCCAGAAACCTGGTAGCTACGTAAGTAGGATGATAGATCACTCAGGTTTGCAGAATGCACAGTCGAAAGGACGATGCTCGGATTGCTCCATAATACGCAAATGAGAGAGCGGATCCGAAGCTCAGACCCATGTCAACGTTCAGAAATCAAAGACACCATTCTACACACCAAATTGTCGAAGATAAATAAGGTGGGCATGACACGTAATGTGTATGAATGACAGCCCACTGGCAAGAGCCATTAGTGACTAGATTCCTGGGAGTGTCAAACGTATAGCAGGAAGACCATTGACTCGATTTTCAGAGTTCCCTAGAAGGAAGGTATCATGCTCAACGAGTCCTCAGAGCGAGCTGGACCCATTGTGTACTTTTGCACGCGACTAGGAGAAATGGAAGATTTACCGGCACCCGCTCGAGTCACTTGACAACCAGCGGGACGACATTATAGTCCATATACACGAACTAGTTTTCACCAGTTGCTGTGTCGTCGAAAAACTGAGCAATGAGAAGAAGAAAGAAGAGCAGAGCACCAGTAGGAATAAGTACAAAAATACGTGAATTTTTTGCTGTCACGTGGAAAATGTCAGTCTAGTAGGACGCAAGGAAACTTACCGATGACTATTAATTGATTACAGCAATTGTCTCTAGACATGAATTAATTGGTATTGGCGAGAACAAATTAAAATAGCTAATTTTATAGTATTTCTGGGCCAATCTAATGAATGCTCAGAAGCGTGGGTGTTCGAGGATGAACTTCGTATATCCACTGCATCGATTGACTTCTAGCTTCCGTATAATAAGTAGACATGTTCGTTTATTGGGTGTAATTGGAACATCGGGTACTATTCTCCCTAGCGATTTGGCGGAGAGAGATAGTTCGGTGGACCTGGAGAGTTTCCCGAACCGAAGGAGGCGGATGGTCCCAAGAACTCAAATATACGGAGAATGAGCTGTTTTTCGTGGCTTTCGACTGAGCAAAAACCATTAGGAAGTTGTGATGATGTACGCAGACGGTACTTTTGACGTCACCTTGCGTTGTAAATGATGGGTTATGGCACTGATTGGGTAGTTCGGTGCGATGGAATATCGGTTGACATCATGTTGCGAGCAAATCGATGGTGATATCAGTGAAATGTGTCATAGTGATTATTCATCATCGGATCTGCTGTACACTGATTTCAATAGTGCGTAAATTGGGGATTAAACGATGACAAAGGCGACATGTAATGTTTATATATTGATTACATGCAATCCGAATGCACTTTTAAAACAAAACGTTCAGCATCAGAGAGAACACCGTTGGCCCCACATCCACAAAAGACAGGTTTAGTTGTGGATTTATAATTACTTGAAAGCGGACATTCATGGCTTCATTATGGTGCAACCGTTTTAAGTTCTTCCGAGCTGTCGCATCGTCTGTGGAAGAGCTAAGCTTACTGAACAACAGCCTTGCGAATGTACCACTTTTTGGAAACATGTCCAAACTGACGTCGTTAAATTTGTACGGAAATCTGGTGAGCATTTCGTTCTTTTTTTATATTTGAATTGTTTGTTTTACTGAAGCTGATTTAATATGTAGTTAAGCATAGAGCAAAGTTTTTAAATCCGGTTACCATTTTCAAATTTGTATCCTCAGTAAGGTGTACAATTTACCTTTTCTCATCCCACATTTGCACAAGATCTGTGGAGGAATAAAAACATATACTTACTTCGATGGACAAGCACGGCCTGTCATCGCTAGTCACGCTGACCTCTGCACAACCTCCATTCTTTATCCTCACGCACTAGCATTGTTCATGGTGGTGGTGCTTCGAGCATAGTGATATTCACGAAGTCCGTTCCATGGTCTTGAAATCGTTCTTATCGCCGAATGCAGATGGTTGGCGTTAACCACGTACACGTCCGCCCATTGTTTGGGTGAGCGCCGAAAAACCCGAATGCGGCCCATATGGCTCTCCTCCTTACGTCGAATTCCTGCTTCATGTTCTTCTCCGTGTTCATTGAACGTTCAAGTTACATGTACGAGGTTTTTGTAATCAGTGAACTATCCAGTTTGATCTGTTTCCTCTTCCGATTTATGCTTAGTCTAGTCTTTTTTCCTGCTTCGTTGAGCTCTTTTAGCATGGTCTGTTCATCTCTTCATTGGCACTTCTTGAAAAAATTATAATGTTGTCCGCGAAGCAGAGATTTGACGATTAGGTTCCATTACTACGTATCCAGGTCGTTCTTGTCTCATTCGAGTTACTTCATTATACACTGCGGTAGTAAATAGCTTTGACAGGAAACAATCGACGAAGGTTACACCCGCCAGACCTGTGATACTATTTGGATGTGTTCATGCAATAGTATTCCTGTCAGAATCCTGCTTGCTGTTAAGGTTGTGCCTCATACAAGGTCTCCGATATGAACAAAATGGTAGCTTTCCTGAGCAACTTGTAGGGCACACTCAACAGCCATATCGGGCGGTAGTTACAAAGGTCCCATCAGTAACCGGGCAGGACTACGCAACGTTTTTCACTGGTCTACGATTTTTCTCTATTCAAGGTAGGATGTCATATGGTTTGTGAGAACTATTTGTAAATTGTGATAACTTTTGCTCCCACTGATGATATAAATCATCCTACAAGGATCTTCTGAAACTCTCTTTTCGAGCAATTCCTTGACAGCAATGGAGATGCACTCCTCCTACGCAAGTTTTAAGTCCTTCGAGAAGCAGCTTATGATCCTCGGTGGCATCTTCTTTTATCTGCCAGTTTTATGAGAATTCTACTGACAACATCCTCGTCGAACATGATTCCTCTTATTTTCCATGGACGATGACGAGTTTGTTCTCAGCTTATTGCTGAATCAAATCCTCGTAAGGAGAAGGCGGTTATCGGATCCAGTTGTCTTAGGAGACGGTTTCCTTCTTTGTTTCGATCTCCAGTTGCGATTTCCCGTATTTTATATCCATTTTCGTTGGCCGTTTCTAATGAAGCACGGAATTCTCTCACAGCAAATTTATAGAAGGCTTCTCATTGAGAATTATTTCACTCCAACTTAGAAAGCGTCCATTTTGCTCTCGTCAGCCGTAGAAGTCGGTGAGTAGCAGTTGATGGTACTGACTTTCTTTTGACGCGCAATTTGGAGAGAAAGAATGACCAAGGGCAGTGATGGGGTTTAGCATGAGGTTACTAGTGGGAAATAGATAAGTGTACGGCAGCGTCAACATTTCGTAATGGAAATTTCACTCCACGAATGACAAAGCTTCCATTATCTAATTGGCGTATGTTGGTCTTCCTGCTTCTCGTCTTTTAGGGTGATCAAAGAATTTGATGCGATCAGCGGCCGCAGGAAGAGCGTAAAGGTCGGAATCTAAAGAGAGTGTTTTGGTGTTGTAAATGTACATCAAGAAGCAGTCTGTATGGCGTATCCTGAGCGGGTTGGCCTTCTCCGTTTTCAGTGACGTCCTGTGCAATCCAATATTTAATCACTCTTCTCCGCTTGTCCCATCGCCTGACGTCGTAGACAAGAGTGCCCAGTGTACGGAGTAATGAGGCTGGAGTTTGCTAGTTGAGACATACTAGTTCTTTGTAGTCTGGAAACCGACCTAGCCGAAGCCTTCCCCAAATCGCCACCACCTCAAGCAGTCTCTGCCCTTGTGGATCAGAGGGAAATTTGCCACCATGCGATTGATTTGATACCAGGGCGGCTGTGATTTCTGGTTTTAGTTGACCTTAGCTGAGTTTCCAAATGGAAACGTCGGAATTCTTGCCAGCTTGGCTTCCTTGCTACGAAGATAAATTTCCGCTGTACATCACAGTTCAACACGTTGGAGGAGTTTCCAACCACGTAAATCTTTGGGAGGTACAGATTCAAGATGTGTAGCTAGACAAAATATGGCAAAAAAAACAACTAGGAAAGTAATGAGTTGTTGCGAATTCATGTCGGCGATGATGTGTTGACGAACTTTTAATAGCTTTGAGAAGAACATCGCATTACCATATATTCATCTGAACATTATATATATATGTATACAAATTTCAGCTGGAAGAATTTCCCGAAAAAAAACCTACAAAATTTCAGCTGGAAGATGTTCCCGAAAAATCGTTTGAAGGTTTGTCGCAACTTCGACATTTACGGCTAGAACGAAATAAGATCTGTTCCTTATCACCGTGGGTGTTGTCTTCTATTGTATATTTCCTAATTTGTAGTGAAGCTGATTCATAGGAATATTCAGGCTTTTGTGCAGATGAGGTTTTTTGCTTTCAGAAATGCTCTGTCTGAGGTAAAATCACATCTGGAACTGCTTGATCTCAGTGGCAATTGCTTGACGGCCATTCCAGCCCAACATCTTCGAAATAGCGTAAAACTGATGTACTTGGATTTATCGGACAACAAGATTGCAGAGGTTCTACTCTTTAATCATAAGAATTGATTTCTTTGTTATGTGGATACCAAGTAGTCTTTTAGTAGGTCGCTTAGAATAAGTTATTGAAAAGTAGAAAGGATTTGTTTTTTAAATGGAAAGTTAATATATGACAATGTATGCAATTTTAGAATTCACTTAATTCTTTATAAAAGATTGTTTCCACCGGTATCTGAGTTTTCGTGGTTGGTACTTTCTGACATATGACCAAATATTCTCCATACTTTAAATCACAGACTGTAGAAATTTCTATGAAGCTTGCTAGTGGAAAAGTTGCCGAGTTCGCTTTTTTTGAGGCTTAGATCAGGTGATTTTCCCTCACCGATCCTAACAAACTCTTATGTTTGTTGGATTTTAATCATTGCGTTGCCCTTCTTGTTTATGGTTTTCTAGCAATTTTCAGATCAACAACTTCGAACTGATGAATCTTCCACAGCTGAAGGAGTTGCGTTTGCACAACAACATTCTCAACGAGATCCATCCAATGGCGTTCATGAATGTCCCGCAACTACGATACCTCTATATGAGAGACAATCTGATTGGAAACCTTGAAGGAAATAGACTTCAAGCTTTTCGCAAGCTTGAAATCCTCGACGTTACTAATAACCTCTTGAAAAAGGTGTGTGTGTTAGAAGATGTGTCCATGTCATCCTTATATCAAAAGTGTTGGGATTTTTTGAAAGAATTTAAGGATTCATTCTAGGCACCTTATAGCTTCAGCTTTACGAAATGATTTATGCCTCTATGTTAATATTTATGCTAAATGCTGATTTACGGGGTATGGGGATTTATTTTGCAAAGAGAAAACGAGAGGAACGGCTTTATAGAATCCTTTAATGGTTCTGTATAGTGGGTAAATAGATTGTTTTTTATGTTATCAAAGTTCATAACTTGCTCTATTTCACTAATTTATACATTTATTAATGCTTACTAGTTTTTACAACTAGTATTTCGAAAGACCACCTTAAGAAACCTTACAGTATGCGGACTACTCCCATTCGTAGTTGGCTTAATCAACTGCTTCAGTTGCCGGAGCTTAAGGATCTCATCAACCTTAAGCAAGTGCGAATCGACGGTAATTTAATCGAAAAGATCGAGACGCTGGCGTTTTCCAACAATCCGAAACTTCAACTAATTAGTATCCAGGTACTTCAGGCGAACTAGACAGTTAATTAAATGCAGTTCTTGCTTTCAGTAATAGTTTCTGAAACACTTTACATATCGTTCAAATATTGGTTGTTCCTTGTGTATTTGAAGCATCGCAAATTTGATACTTCAGAACAACAACATTGTTCAAATCGCAAGAAATAGTTTCGACTCATTGGATCAGTTGCTCGTTCTTTTGCTCGCCAATAATTCCATTCAAAGTATTGGTAAGTTAGTTGAAAAACTAAGGAGCAATAAAGCGTAAATGGCTCGGTATTGGTCAATTATGCATTCTATTCCATTCGTAAGGCAGCACACGATCGTTTTCCTAATGAACAACTGTATGGATTATGTGCTAAGCGTGTCAGGGGGTTGGGGGAAGTGGACGAAATGCACTGCACGCAACGTGCTTTTTTTGCATTGCCTTATTTCGCTACACACAGCTTTCTTCCCGCGTTTTTATGCTATATTATATCGATATTTTGTACAACACATGCTTTATCAGGAGTGGCACTTGAGAAGCTGTGCGTTGCACTTAACAATTTGGAAAACAATATTGGTTTGACTAGAAATGGACTGTTCTTTCATTTCCATTCATCGTGTTGAGTTGTGGTTACCATATGGACTGAGCTGACATCAAAAATACAAAGTTAAACACAACATGAGGTACAGAACACATCCAATTGCTGACGGAATTGTACTTGCTTACATTGTAGGCTGTGGTAACATATAGCAAATAGTGGTATACATGCCACGCATGCCTCTAGAAGGATGAAGCTAATTCTCTTCTACAAGTCTGGCATCTCCTGGACCATTCAGACATTTAGTTATGGGAAAATTGTATGCCAGCTATTGTCGAAAACCAAGGAGTCCGCAGTTGCCATAAAATTCATCGTGACTTCGCCCCACGCAACAACCACGCACACTTGAGCGTCAGGCGTTGTGTGTTAAAATTTAACGAGTATTTCCTATTTGTGGTGTATACCCTTAAGCTGTGGACAAAAGTTTGTTATACGTTTGTAAAACTATCAACTTCGCTGCTCTAGTAATGGAGGACTTTTTGTTGGACAGTGTAAAGATGATTGAATGCATGTGTCCAAGCTGGGTTATTTAGTATTGTCTTATTCCTCAACCGCCCACCCCTAACCCCCGCCCCATCCCCTTCCCTCTCTCTCTCTCTGTTTCTCTCTCTCTCAAAGGAACTAGTTTCCAGATCCACATTCACCTTGGTGAAGCATAAGGCCTCTTTTGGTCCGCGTTTAACAACTGTATGTCCGTCATCTAACTACGCGTCAAGTACTCTCGAGACTAACGTAGATTGGGACCTCTCATTGATGGAGATCCGTGGGATTTTAAATTAAGGACTAATACTCTTTTTTATCTTTTCGTCAGTAACAAGCGTCTGATTTTATGCATGATTCGATTCTTAGAATTTGCAATTTCAAAATATTGACGAAGACTGATGCATAGGAGATGGTTAGCAATGATAAATGCTTAGTATTTCACGAAATGCAATAGTTTGAAGTGCTCCTGTTATGTAGGAAAAGGATAAACAAACTCGTTATGTGTTGCAGAGCGAGGAATGCTGGATGGAATGCGAAATCTTCAGCAGCTCAATCTTCGTAACAACTCTCTAACATCGATGGACGAAAACACATTTTCATCTCTCAGACAGCTCACCACTCTCGATTTGGCTCATAATAATCTCAGGACAATAGCTAAGGTCCTTACAAAATTCTTGCTGTAGTTTAATGTTATTATGCGAGACGTTTCAGAGAACATTCGCCCATCAGACAAAACTCTTCTGGTTAGACCTGTCCAACAATCAACTCAGTTCCTTTGAAGAAGGCACATTCGAAACTAAGATTGCCAACATACTTCTTGATGGTATGGTACATATTACCTGTTTTTCTCTGGAGTATTGTTAGCAGCTTTCAAATGTTATCGCAATACAGCCATCTTGAAATGCTAAAAGTGTTTATTAACACATGTTACAGGTTGGCTACAGTTCTGGCACGATGAAATCTCAGTTTTTTCATGGCATAGCTCGCATATTTTTAGTTTGTCGAGGCTTGTATCTCGAGCAAAGGGGTCGAAGAGGAACAGTCGGGATTTGTTCCCACTGGACGTGTTGATATCTCTGGATTCATCGTTGATGATTGTGGTTGCCCCGCTTGCGTTAGAAATTTTGGAATTCCCACTGTGTTAAAATTTCTTTGAGCTTATCTGAATCTTCCTCCTTTCAAAAAATCATTGGAAAACACCGGAAAGAAAATGTCTTTGAGATACATCAGTAGTCCAAAATTTATTGGTGGTCGAATAGTTGTTGAAGAATAGGCATCCTCCTAAAGGGGATAATTTACTTTTATTTGGTCATATTGTGTCACGCGTCACATATTTTTCACTGCAGCATTTGATTGCAGTACTTTACAAAATGTCGTATAGAAGTGTTCTGTGAACAGAAAGGTGATGCAGCCAGTTCGTTTTGAGCGCGTAGAACTCATAGTCTTCTTAACATATACGATACAAGCATGCTTTTGGTGTCATATTGAAGATGTCATCCACAGTAACCTTTTCAAGGAAATCGTCTCATTTGTGACGATGCGTTCGACTGGTTCATTCGATATCTTGTCACGAACCGAGTGCGAACTTTTCTACCGTTCCAGCCGGAAATCAGTTGTGCTGGACCGGAGAAATACGCCGGTGTCAGGTTAGCGTCTTGTTTTCGAGAAATCACGCGACTTAAAGGTTGGACAAGAGTGAAATTGACTTCTTGTGCGTGCAAAGAGCGAGAAGATCAAAATACGTTCACTTATGCTGTTAAAGGAACACTTCATGGTTTTTTTGGCTTAGTCAACCTGTCAATAGGAGGAGTGGCTTAGTGTTAAATATCCGGTTTTGCAATATGGAAGTTTTTCCCTTTTATTTTCCTTCGAAATAATTTCCTATCCCATCAATGAATGTCTACGTGTGGTAATAGAGCTCGGATTTTTCTGGTTCTCATCTTAAGTGCAATATACATCGGAATAACTTCCCAACCTTTTCAATCAAAAATACATTGAAATATTTTAACAAAAATAGAAATCGATAATAAATCGATAGTCAATAGTAAAAATCAAAAATATATTGGGATATTTTTACATCGTGGATTGCTTTTGGAGCGAGAAAGTTAAAGCTGGAAAACTCTCGTCGTTGGTCAATCCCTGAGGGATGCGCAATGCACTCAACTTCATTCAGTATCGTTTGGAAGTGACTCAACGCATATCTGGCCTTTACAATGATTCGCGGTGGCCTACCGATGCATCGAGCCAGTGCTGCTATCCTCCCTGACAAGTCTGGTGCCGATTTACCGACCCCGGAGGGATGGAGAAAATCCCGCTTTTTGATTCGCTTTCGTCTTAGAAATATGACCAGTGAAGCAGTAAAATAAAAGAGATATGTGTGATGGACTCCAGAAAATCAGAGTATCACCCCGGTGAAGCGAGGGAAGTATAATCCCGTAGACAAAGATTTATTGATTTTTCGTTTGAATTAACAGATTTCGGCGTGAGCTGAGACATAAAGATAATTTAAAAGGGATAATTGGTGACTCCTATAGAGGTCATCTTATCGCCTAAGTGTTGAAAGTGGATATTGCACAAACAAGATATTAGGTTTAGGTTTTGACGTTTAATGAGGAACTTATGGAAAAATAACCTTGACCAACAGAAAAATGGCTGGTTCTGCTAAGCAGAATCCTTTTCTTTCTAAACTATGGGCAGCGAGAGTAGCTAAAATATTAATTTAGGATAGCTGGATCGCTCACTCATTCCTATATATACATATAAACATATGTCTGTGTATGCGCATGCTTACATCATATGAATATATATAAAGCGAAAAAGCTTATATGTACGTATACATATATGAGCATATAGGGGCCTATGTGGCACAGTGGTCAGAGATGCTATTCATTACACATGAGTTCGATCCAGCGCACCAGTCTCACAAAACCTTCCATTCTTCCAGTGTTGAAATTGTACTAGAACTGTCTTGGAGAGGGAGAAGCACCAGCCTGATACATCGGAAGCCTAACGCGAGCCATTGTATAAGCAAGATATTCATTCAGTTACCTCTAACGATGCTTAATGAAGTCGAATGCGGGTGCATCCTTTAGAGATTGGTCAACGCCGAGAGCTTTATACATGTGTATACATACATGTACACACATATGTACACATATATACGTATATTGACTGTAGTGAAAATCTTTGGAACGTAGAAATCCTTGCCTATAAGGTACAAGTTTCCTTATTCCATAAAATTCCGGCTTTCTGGAGCAATTGACAGTTATTCCTTTCACGTTTTTTTTAAACTTTTGAGTTCGTATTTCGAACACCTAAGTAATTAAGTGAGTGGGATTTTATCTTCAAGAACACGTCAGTGTTCTCTAATATATCCTCTGGGTTGTGGCCACAGCTTGTCAGTTGGAGTTTTTGGAAATTGGAACTTATTTTTAACTATTTGGGAAGTGTAGTTCCAGACGTATTTAAAACTGGAAGAATATTGTGTAAAAATATCCCTTTATATGTTCGAGCGTCACTTAACATACGTATCCCAGACTTCTATATGGGGCGGAGAGCATAGTGGTAGTGATGTCCGTCATTACGAGCAATGTGATAGTTCGTTTCTGTCCCGAGCCAACCAAGCCTCTTATCCCCTCGGGGTCGTGAAATTGGTACCGGACTTGTCTGAGAAGAAATCATTCTCTGCAATCCTATTGGGAACGCTCCAGCCCGGCTATCTCAGAACTCCTGGGAGAATTGCTGAACCAGGATTCCACAACATTCAAGATGAAATAAAAATCCTCAAGCAGCAACGGGAAGCTAGCTACACGTGAAAACTTCGTGGACAATGAACGCGAGGAAACGAATTGATTGTGAGAAGTGCTGGGATCCGCACAGTAGACGTGAAGACGGATCAAATAAAGAAATAAAAAATCCCAGACTTCTTGCATTCAAGTTTGCTGTGCTGCCCGCCCACACTAAAAATAAATAAAAATACATTCATATATATACGAATATGTCAGTAGGACTAATTATCTACCATACTCATTTCTTCCAGTACTCTAATGATCAATACATCATGTCCGGCTTACCAAAGCCTTGTTGCGGGTGTTTCCTGTTAGTGCAGTTCACCCTATTTCATTTTATACTTATAACTCATTTAATTTCATAACCTTACTAATGCTCAACGTTTTGTATTAACGCATACAATTCAGACTAAAAGATCTGATGATGAGGAAAGCGAATGATACTCTAACAGAAGGCATGAAAACTCTAGGCCTCAGTGAACATGGTCAACGGTAAGCCCATCTTGTTACAGTAGCCTAAATTGCCTTCATTCTTTTCATAACGCAAACTTAAAGTGGGAAAACGAATGAGAAAACTTGAATTAATACTTACGAACCGGCACAAATTCCTTTTGACTTGTCAGTGGTTGCTGGAATGTGATTCTCTCCTCGAATTCCGATTAAGCCGTTGCTAGTTCGCGAGGGCAAACAGTAGTCGGCCTTACTGGATGGAAGGAAGATTAGCTGGTTTATGAGTAGCTTTTTTATAGGACGACAACATTTCCCAGTATAGATGTAACCTCTTTAACTGAAATTCGTGCGGATGACAAATAGCTCACTCATATCGTTGAGTGTCCATATTTGAGGGATGGGCATTTTTGGGCATTATAGTCCAACATTTAAGGCCTCTTTGTCACTGTGATTGCATGGGAGGTAGAAATGTTTTGATTACCATATGTAAATAATTTTCTTTTGATATACGTAACTTTAAAGATCCTTCATCTCTTCTCTTATTCCTGGATTTCGTTCTGCACCGGCGGCTGGTGGTGGAGTATTAGAACAGGCCGCTAACGGGATTCCTATCCTGTCCACACTCTCACAGGTAGGTGGTGTTCAGGTGTGACATGGAAATAAAAGAAAGAGAAACGCCAAATCTAATGAGCAATGTTTTCCTATTTGTGAAGATTGGTTGGCAGCAAAAACATGTGGGAATTGCAGTATTCTTTAAAGTAATAGATTTTTAGGCCATTCCATTGATGAGAAACATGCCCGGGTTAGATGTTGCCAATCCACGTGCTAGTGCTGGGCAGCTAGTGAATCCGAAACTCAATACTGCTATTGAACAGGTGTGGCAATATTTCTGGACTTACGACTCTGCCAGTGTTTCTGCAACTGGTGCTAACTTCTTGAGAAATACAGAACTGATATTGTATTGCCATATTGTTGTTTGCACTATTGGGCTACTAAATATGTTGAATGCCGAGAGCTTTATCCTTTTTACTGGAAAGCCGATGTCCTGCATGTAAGGCATTTAATGTTCAGTATTTGACCAGTAATTCACTTTTCCTAATTTTGTGCATTTTCGTGGTTTCTTTCTCTCGGGATTGTCATGGTGGGTCATGACTATAGCGTTAAATGGACAGATATGAAAAATGCTCAGATGAATTCAACATTTGGTTTGCAGTAAACCATAAGAAAATATAGTAAATAGTAACATAATGATGGTACTGGTTAAAGCCTGCGCCGAGCCCATCAAGCCTGTAACCCCTTTGAGGTCAACTGGCACCAGACTTCTCTAGGATCAGTTCGGTTTGTCGAATTCACGTGCCGTGGGAGCGCTCTAGGGCGGCTATCGCAGGACTGCAGGGAGAAGTGACTCGACAATCATTCAGGGAAATTCATAATGAAGACGAAAATCCTTAAGCGGCAGCCAAACCCACATGCTAAATGTTCAAAGGCTTTCGTGGATGGTGGATGCAAGGAAACGAACTGAATGCAAGAACTGCTGGGTAAGCATAGGTGTAAAGGTAGATTAGGTAGAACAAATAAATAATGGGTAAATAGTAGGAGGTACACCTCCAGATCGACAAAGCAATGCTCTTTTGCAATTCTGTAAGTCGGTCATAATTCCACGTGAAAGGCTGAATTATGTTCGGCCATGTGCGAGTCATACAGGACTCATATGGTTGCGAGTGTTTTAAATCTTAAGTAATTAGATATTGTCTTAGAAAAGGATTTTCAGTTCACTGCTCCACTTGTTCGTTTTGCCACTGGAGGTCAACCTGTTGCCAGCGACATCGAGCAACTTATTCAATCGATACCAAACTTTGTTGTGAATGTCCCCGGACTGGGTGATGTGGATGTCAGCAAAGTGAGTCGTTCTTCCTCTGTTATCAATTTGTCTATTCTTCTTAGTATTGAAAGCATTACGACTTAAAAAGGGCACAAACAAGAATTATTAACTTAAACTGTTCAGTGTCTGAAACTGCATCCTCATTTCAGGATCGGCATTGATAGTTGCTATCAAATTCCAATCAAGAGTCAGTTAAGCAGATGCTGGTGATGTTGTTCAGTAAGTGCAACGCGGTGGTTCGTTCACTCCCGCATTCACTCCCTTTGCAGTCGGGAATTTGGTACATGTCGCGCTAGCAGGACAGTCCCAGGATTCCGGGGAGAATCGACTCGGCCAGCATTCAACAACATTCGTGAAGATGACAAGGGATCTTCAGAAAGCATCCCAATCTGCATATAAATCCGAAGAGCTTTGTAGATGAGGAGACGAAGCGGATATAAGATGTGCTAATATCTGCACAGTGTGTATTAATAGGTCGTCTGTAAAAAAATTTTGATCGTGGTTGCGTAGTTTCGCTTAGCAAATGGTCAGAATCACTTATCATTGTTATCGAGGAATTTCTAAACATAATATCCAGTTAATTTAATTATTGGCTGGTAGGACATTAGTGATCCTTGGCAATTTATCCTGGAAAATTCGACATAACAAAGATAACCAAGCGGTGAACGGATGAGGATTTTGGTGGGTTCTTCAGATACTTTCTTCTTGTCGGAACAGAATGTTATACGGATCCTCACTGACGAGATAAAATGTCGTACTGCGTTGAGTAGAATCGTTATAAAGGCGCATTTATCCTGCTCAACATAAAATAGTTGTAGTCGGAAGTGGGTAAGATCGTCATTGATGTTTCATTTGATCTCCTTCGTTCTCATCTTGTGTTACCTTTATTTGAGAATGAATCATTGCTCGCTTTACATCGCAGTTTTTAATGGCCTAGTCGTATGAATACAGTGCTTAGATGTGCATTGCTATACAGCTATGGTCATTCGTCCACTCCTTTCCGATTTAACCAATTCCTCCATCTTTTTTGGGTTTGCGGCGAATTGCTGACGTTTCCAGCAGTTTCTTGCTTTGAAGATATAGGAATGCTATAGTAGAGCGATCCCAAGATTTTAAGGAACATCGGCTTGATTAGCGTTCATCGATATTCGTGAAAACGAAGTCTTCTATGGGATGCCGATGCCAGACATAAATACTGACATCGTGGCTGATGGATGGAAAGTAGCAAACAGAATGATAGATCATATGTGACCTGTACGACTTGTCATCTCGTTGATCGCCGAGTTTTGTGAGCGAGCGCCAGTAAAAATCGTCCATTTCTCACTATCGCGTGCAAGAGTAGCCCAGTTCCCCAAGTCCTTATACAAGGGGTCGACTTCGTTTTCGTCAAAGCCGGTATTATTCCTCATTTCTTCAAGTGTAAACGTTTGATTCAGGCTGTTAGTTGTTCGAATGAATCGATGTTCATAGCCAAACTCATTTAGACGAGAACGCCGACACCACCGACTCCTCTATTATCGCATGTTCCCAAGAATAGGTTCGAGGTTCTCCGGTGTGGTAGACGGTCTCGAATGTGCGATAGCAACGGGCTATATTTATGGGGTAGCTTACCAGTCTCTACCCAGAGTAGAAATGGAGGTTATTTGTTGGAGGCGACTTCCGACCGCCCCACCCATATAGTTCCCTGTCACTGGATTGCAGGCTTTTGGCTAAACTGACTCGTAGAATACAATCCGCATAAACGAGAACACATCCACGCTCGCATGAATGAATATATCCTTGTACAGATAAAAGGTATGTGTCAAGTCAAAAAGTCCATTCTTTGAATCCACTTGCACCTCAGAGAAGCATAAGGTCGCTTTTGGTACTCGATCCGACACATGAGGAGGAGACACGTTGCCTCATGTCTATCCTGCATGGGATCCCTCTATAGGGGAGATCCTTAGAAGTCATATATAAAGAAACGAATATAGTGCAAATTGATTTACAGTTTGCAGCTTAAGTGTTTTCTAATTAATTTCCACGTTTAAACCAGTTTTTGATTTCGGACTTTAGCTGGATCCGAATCTGGTGGCGCACGTGCTCAAGGGAGGACAAATCCCTGGGATCCCCAAGGAGACTCTGGATGCGATTGTTCAGCAGTACATGCTAAAGGTGCACGAAGCAGCAGCGGCGGCTCGGAGTGGGAAGCCATTAAAAGATGGAAACAAAGTTAGTTCATACGAATACGAGTAGAAATGATTTCTGGAACATTATCGAAAACCCGACTCATTGTGGAGACTATCATTCCAGTACGGATTTGTTGATTCAACGAAACATATCCTATAAGTGTCCGTACAGTTTCTTTCGATAACATTTTATAGTTGATCTATTGAGCATCTCTTCAGCTGACCGAATTACCGATAACCTTAACTTGTTAGTCATCGCACTGTTGCATTCTAACACATGCTTGGGGGTGCTTTTAGTTCCTGCCACCACTTGATAAACTTCCCATGGAGCTGGTCACACACGTAATGCAAGGCCAAAAAATACGCGGATTGAACGAGGCTCAGACACAAGTTATCAAGGTATAATTTTGTCAACTACCTTCAAGCACAACTTCAGCCGTGCTCCTTTCACACTACTTGTGTTTGGAGCGTGCAACGGATAACGTTGGTGGGATAAATCTTTCATGCAGTTCTCGTCTGTTACGTGAAGATGATGTGAAATACAACCGCAACGATGCTGAGATGTTGGCAAAACTTGGACATGAGGCCAGATCGAGCTACAATTACCCTTTCCGGAGGCTCGCGTATTACACGCTGCACCACGGAGGCCCTTGCTATCCTAGTATAAATTTGAACCCGTAATTGGAATTTCTTTAAGGCACTAATGAACAACAAATAAGTAGAAAAAAGTAACAGGCACTAAATAAACACTTTGTGATTTCGGCCACTGGTTCAGCTTAACTGGGTTCAATGCCTCTTATTTACACTTCCCAGGTAGTTCCAGTTGACGGTTGATTGCTGGGAGCACCTTTAGGTTAAATAACTGTCGAGAAAAAGACGGAGCTAGGGTCTCGGTGGTGCAGTGGTGGATAACACATGTGCAGCCACGGGTTCGAAGCTCAGCCGGGGTTCCGAGTTTTGCAAATATGCGGCATCACAATGTAGTCACTTTTTATCTACTGCCTACACTTTTTAATGGCAAGATGTGATGTGGAATATAACCACAATGACGTTGAGATATTTGCAAAACTCCGGGCTGCAGGTGTTTGCAATGAGAATTGAACTCGTTATTGCCCGGCAACTAACGCGTTCACTACCACGCCATGCACGGCTGAGAGAAAGGCGATGCGAAGGGAAGGACCCCCATAGTGCGTTGGTCTACTTGTAAGTACCCGGAAAGGATAATGAGTTTGATCCCCACCGCAATCACCTTTGGTCTGGAGTTTTACAAATGTCTCAACGTCATTCTAGTATAACAGCGTCACTGTGGAGCAGAAATGGTTGTGTTCACCGTTCTGTTGCAAAATTTCCCTCCTTTTTCTATTGTACCGTTCGTTTCTGTATTATTTTATTCATTTATTGATTAAACAATTGCTGCAGACATTATATCACATTCTAGGATTATTACACTTCCCTTCCACCCACCACCACTGTGAGGGGCGCTGCACCTCAAAACAATATTATCAGTGATGTGACGCCTTCACCGTCCACAGTGGTTACACCAGGCTTTCTATTTTCAAAGGAGTTCTTGGATATGTGGAAACTACTTCCATCGGGATATAATCTGAGCAAGATTCCAGCCGAGGTCATTTCTTTTCCAGATTATTTGAAGTGTTATTCACAGTCTATTATTGCGTAGAGAAACAAGTATGAATAGCAAAAGTAATGGGATGGGTATTTTGCGCCATCTATGAAAAATCTAATTTTCGATCCTCCAACCTTCTTGTGGCGCCTTTGATTTGGCTACACGGTGAGAATACGTTTAGGTTTGAGTATTTGGGAAGAAAGGAGGGAAATCCATATGCTCTGGAAATTTATGTTTTTTTCGAACTTGCATCTTCTAGATTATCACCGCGCTATCCCGAGGTGAAATCCCCGATCTACGTAATCTACCAGCTGATCTGACAGAGCATTTCAAGTCAAACAGTGACAAGCTGGCAATTATTTTCAACCGAGTTCTAGCGGTAAGTAGTTCGTAACATTAGTTGTTTCATTAGGGAGAACTAGAGATCATTATTGTTCTTTGCTACATAAAACTTAAAATAGAATGTATTCCTTCACTATTTCTGTACTCTTTCGTTACTAAGTACTATAGTTGTTATTATTGTTACTATTTTTTCTATGAGTTATTAATCAACTGTCAACAGGAAAATACCTCTTTGGAAGAACTGCTTGCTAAATTACCTAAGTTCGAAAAGCCGGTCCTGTCCACCTTCTCTCCGTACGATATCAATAGACTGTCAAATGAGATGATCCATGAGGAAGAAGAAGCAGAAAAGGCTGCTAAAGTCAGGTCTGCGTGTGGACATCATTGGTAACAGCCACATTTCGTGGTGGAATGATTCCCGTAAGATTATTGGTGATCGCTACTATTTCACTTCATGTTTAGGTTGTACACAGCAATTGCACTCGGTCTAGTGGGAGCAGCGACAATTGTCGTCCTGGCAGTCTTCGCAGTGTATATCAAACGACAAAGAGAAGGAAAACAAAGGTGGTTGTTAGATTTCTATCGTATGCGCTGCTTGTATACATGCTCTTTGTTTTTGTGTTCAATGCACCACTTGCCGAATTTTTACCATTGTTTTGCATAACAGTATCGAGGTGTGTGTGGCGCAGTGGTACGAGGCACCCTGCAACACAAACGTGGAATGAATCCCCGCGCCCATGGCCCACCAAGCCTTCCTTTCCTCTGGGGTGTGCAAATTGGTACCAGACTTGTTTGAAAGGATAGCAGCACTGGATCGATACATCGGTAGGCCACCGCGAGTCGTTGTAAAAGCCAAATATGCATCCAGTCACCTCCAAACGATGCTTAATGAAGTCGAATGCATGGCGCGTCCCCAAGGGATTGATCAACAACGCCGAGAGCTTTATCGTTCCTACTTTTTCCTTTACGGATTCGATTTCCAGGAGTGCTCTTATGCCGTCGCCGAATACAGCGCCAGGAGTTCCGCTAGCAAATTCAACGATGCGTAACGTCGTCGTGCCTGCACAGTCCTCACAACTACACCTTCGACTTAACTGACACTTTTCTCGTTCTTCATGTCGTATCATAGCTGCCGCTTTTGGTGCTTTCTCTGTCATGATCCCAGTTCGAGAGCTGTAGCCACTGTGAATGATTGGATAACGAAACTCACCTCAATTGACATATTATCGCAGTACTAATAACCTAAACTGGATTCGATTTCATGAATCCGGACCCGAGTCTTTACCATTGCGGAGATACCGGTGATGCCTGTGTTTGTGCTCACTTCTTAATTTGTATTATTCTTAGATCTAATCTTCAATCTCAGAGCTGTTTGTTTCGTAATTTGCAATGGTATTCTCCTTCCATGTACGGGTAAGCAATATCAGACAGCAATTGGCATGATACCATAGAATATTTCTCATTCTGAGTGATGTCATACTTTGTAAACATATAATCAGAGTTCTGTGAATAAATTGATTTATAACCAGTGTTTTCTTCTACCAAAAGAATGAAGCACACGGGTTAGAGGTGTACTGTGACGTGCAAAGTCCGGTGGTCGGATCTCGCGTCCCAGGTTAACAAGCGTTGCGTTCTTCCGGGATCGAGGAATTGGTGTTGGGACTAGCTGATATAGTAAAGGACACTTGTCTAATAAATTGATAGGTTTATTCAGGTGTGCAGGCAGAATTGTCAATTAGGTCAGTGCTTCCAGGACAAAGCTGGTTCTTCTTGATAATTTCTCTTTGACTAGGGTATCTTAGATGAGCTCCATAGATTTATAAAGGAGGATTTGCCGAATCGCGTCAGTCATCGAGTTCTCAAGCTTAGGTCCCTATAACCTCCGAAATAAATACAGCAGCTGCAAACGACACACTGGGATCACTACAGTGTCACCGAGGAGCAAAATCGTGCTTGTTCATTTGTCATCATGTGAGTCGCAGAGAGCTCACGTCGTCACGTAAGTGTTAACACACTGACGACTCCGTGACTTTACTGATCGAGCGGTTGGCCATCTCACGTAGTGCGCCGTTGCGAATGGCGTCAATTGGAAAGCATCGTCCGTAAATCACCCCAGAACGCTGTCCTTCAAAATTTTCTTCTCGCAAGGACTTTCGGTTCGCTTTTGTCTGTTCGGTTGGTGTTGCTTGTTTGCTATGAAATGAGCCTTGTGTACTAGATGGTTTGTTTTTAATATTTTTTCTTGAATTCTAGCCAGTATGGGGGTTTCATCGTTAGATTTTTCGTTGTGATGCTCTCAGCACGACACCTTTATCATATCCGAGAGTTTATCTCTTTTTTTGCTCGGACTATATGTGCTTTATCGTTTATCTTCATTGCGTCGCTTTCACTTAGTTGGCTTCGTCACTCTGAGCCAGTCAAATAACATTGGTATTATTTCCGGTGGATGTGTCATTATCTCGGTTGAGAAGCGTCTGTTTCCATAAGCTTGGATTGCAATGCATTTATACAACCTCACTCTCCAAGGGCAAACCGCCATCAACCAGGCCGTCCATGGAAATTTCTCTGGAACACCGAAAGCACAAGTAGTTTTATTGTAGATATTACGCAATGGTTAGACTCTAGATATATCGATTTCTAGGAGATTTGTGTTGGCAGAGGCTCCACTCTTCAACTGCTTTTTTGCGATCCAACTACAGGAAAGATCAAGGTATGCAGTTATTGTTTTAACCTTTTATTTGCTACCTACTGTAATTTTCACGGTAGGATATGATGTGAGAAACAACCACAATGATGCTGAGGTATTCGCAAAACTTGGACCCCAAGCCAGATCCTACCACGGTTACCATTTCCGGAGGCTGGCGCGTTACACGTTAAACCACTGAGGTCCTTGCTTTTCTTTTCTGTCAGCTAGTTTTCTACCCGACTAGTGCTTACCAATTCAATCCCGCTATCGGGTGATTGCTGATTGCAGCGTTAGGTAGAAAACTAACTGAGAAAAAGGCAAAGCAGGAGCCTCAGTGGCGCATTGTGTCACGCGCGAGCCCTCGGAAAGAGTAATGGTAGTTCGATCTGGGGTTTGCGGTCCAAGTTTTGCGAAGGCTTCAGCGTCATTGTGATAAGCGGTTATGTTAATCTTGTGTGGACGCTTTATTAGTTAGGTAGCATAACAGTGTTTGTTTTCTCTATTTAGGTTTTGTGCAGCCATGAAGTATTCGGTATTATCCGCTCAATCATGCCATTCCGACTTACTGGCGGTTCGAAAGGTAGTTTTGCAATTTTTACTTCTCTCTATGCTAGGTTTTTTCTGCGTTCATCTATTGCTTTTTGCTGCAGATTATATCGCAGTTGGTTCGGATTCGGGACGAATTGTAGTGCTGGAATATTCGACGGATAAGAATTCATTTCTTCGTGTGCATCAAGTTAGTCTTATCGTTCAACTGCGTAACATATTGCGGTCCGAGAAACGCTCATTAATGGAACCAGAACTTTCTTTTTCGTAGGAAACTTTTGGGAAAACGGGATGTCGTCGGATTGTTCCTGGACACTACTTGGCAGTAGACCCGAAGGGAAGAGCCATTATGATCGGTATTTTTCCAAACCATGTCTGCTACCATTCAAATTCCAGTCAGCGTTCTAAGTATCACTATAGGTGCTATCGAACGTCAAAAATTGGTTTATATTATGAATCGTGATGCTGAAGCACGTCTTACTATTTCATCCCCACTAGAAGCCCACAAACAGTTCACACTCTGTTATGGAATGGTGGGAATTGATGTTGGGTTCGAAAATCCAACATTTGCTTGTCTGGAATTTGACTACGAGGTTGGCACTCTTTTTGTATTCGTCCTCTGTTTCCAAATATTTTCAATTCAAGGATGCTGAGCACGACCCAACGGGTGACGCACTTCAAACTACAAAGCAAACTCTAACGTTCTATGAGTTGGACCTGGGTTTGAATCATGTTGTCAGGAAGTATGCAGAACCCTTGGATGATAAGGCAACAATGATCATTGCCGGTTTGTACCTAGGAAGTGAAAGGAAAGTCTTCGTTTTCGTTCATTTTTTCAAAAAACATTTTTTTAGTCCCTGGAGGTAACGAGGGTCCATCTGGCGTCATTTTATGCTGTGAAAACTATCTCATATATAAAAACTTGGGCGAGCAACCTGATATTAGATGTCCTATTCCTCGCAGAAGAGTCAATTTTTGTTATGCTTTTCTTGTTCGTTAGTCTTCATTGGAAGGCAATATTTTTCAGAATGATCTTGATGATCCAGACCGCTCACTTATGATTATTTGCGCTGCCACACATAAGACGAAGCTGCTGTACTTTTTCCTTCTGCAGACCGAGCAGGGGGATCTTTTCAAGGCATTTTTTTTATTTCCAACTTTATCTTTCGGTATATTTTACTTTATTTGTTAATACCTTCATTTTCTGTGGCAAAAGCATTTCTATAGTTTGCTTTTTTTAAATTACGGTGCCTTTTTTTGGAGGACTACTGCCCCAGCCAGCACCATTAATGTGTTCATAATATAGGTAACTTTGGAAACAGACGAAGACTTGGTGACGGAGATGAAAGTGAAATATTTCGATACTGTTCCCGCCGCAAATGCAATGTGTATCCTTAAAACGGGATTTCTGTTTGTTGCTAGTGAATTCGGAGATCAGTGAGCCACAATTTTCCTTAGCTAGGATTACAGTCTTCTTATTGTAAAGTATTGGGAAATTAGCTAAATCTCCATATTCATTGCAGTCATCTCTACCAAATTGCAAATCTCGGAGATGACCCGGAAGAACCGGAGTTCTCTTCTAAAATGCATTTGGACGAGGGCGAGACATTTTTCTATGGCATTCGCGAACTAAAAAGCCTTGTTCCAATAGATCGCATCGATAGTTTATGTCCATTTACCGATGCTTACGTGAGCGATCCTTTATTTCGTCGTCAATTTGTGTCTTCATAAACCTCAAGTGGAAAAGATGTTTTCTAGATTGGTGACTTAGCCCATGAAGATGCTCCCCAGATATACGCGTTGGTCGGCAGAGGAGCTAGATCAACACTTCGTGTTTTACGAAATGGTTTAGAGGTGTGGTAGTATTAGTTTTATTATTTTTCTTCTCTAATTGGACCTTTAACTTTAGGTATCAGAAATGGCAGTTTCGGAGCTGCCAGGTAATCCAAACGCTGTGTGGACTGTGAAGAAAAACGTTGATGGTTCGTCGTAGTTTTTTAAGCATGAGCTCAATCTACAGCTTCGCAGTGAGCTCGTATGGGGACACGAAGATTAGTGTATTTTTCGAATGTGGTCCTTTACTTTTGCTGTTTTTGTAAATATTCGTAACTCGATTCCAAGCCACTGCACATGTACCTACCAGTCACTTGTTTGGAAAATTTTTTTTTTCGAATGGTGCCAGATGAGCGCGCGCATGCACATGCATGTTTTCGCAAATATGTGCGTATAAGTGCTTAAGGAAAATAATTCACTCCGACGGCAAAGAGAAAAGCGGTCATTTTCCCGAATCCATCTACGTTTCAAGGTCAGTACAGGGTCTTTTGGTTGTACCACTGTGATACCTTGGAGTCGCATCGGAACAAGTCCAATCATGCACATAGGGGAGAATTATGAGGGTTCACCATATAGTGGCAAGATTGAAATACCAATAAATACCAACTGTGTGATCTCAGAATTGGTATAAATTGGATATATTATTTGGAGAAGTGGAATAAAACGACATTTTGTACAGCGAACCATCTGAAACGTTGATAACTGTTCTAAATCTTATTCATTGCAGATAAACATGATGCCTATATTGTGGTTTCATTCATAAATGCAACACTAGTCTTGGCAATTGGTGAAACGGTAGAGGAAGCTAATGATTCTGGATTCATGGCAACCACACCTACTCTTGGTTGTGGAATTATTGGAGACGATTCCCTACTGCAAGTTAGTCTTTCTTCATCCATCGTTGTTGATCATTTCAGAGGAGGACAGAGAGTTAGCAAAATTTCCGAATGATTTAGATCTATCCTGAGGGAATTCGACATATCCGTTCTGATCGACGAGTAAATGAATGGAAGACGCCAGGAAAACGACAAATTGTCAAGTGTGCAATGAATAGGTGCGTATTTCTCTCGATTGTTCTATTCTGCGCAGTGCTGTGAAGCGATATCAGTTGCCACTTGTTCATTAGTTGCTCACCAAAATTCTAGGCGACAAGTGGCAGTAGCGTTGGCTGGTGGCGAGCTCGTATATTTCGAGTTGGATCCTGTATGTTTTGTTCTATTTGCCTCTTTTTTCTCACTTTTATGTTGCCTTTATTTTTGTAAAGAAAAACATAGAATCATAATTTCTAGACTGGCCAACTGAATGAGTTTACGGAGCGTACATCTTGGCCTCATGAAGTGTTATGCATGAGTTTAAGTGAAATTCCTGAAGGTGAACTTCGTTCCCGATTCCTTACTGTTGGAATAGCCGATAGCACTGTGCGTGTGATTTCTCTCGATCCTCAAGATACTTTAAGTCCTCTTAGGTTTGTTTTCTCTCTTTATAGTTCAATTCAATGAGACCTTATATAATGCTTAGAAGTCCTTCCTAAATTTGCAATATATATTCTTGTTTGTACAGGTCGGACGTAGTTCATTCAGAAATAAATTGTTTGTAGTATGCAAGCGCTTCCTTCACAACCAGAATCACTTCTATTATTGGAGACAACAAGTGAGGATAATAAAGGGTCATCGACAATCCATTTAAATATTGGTCTTCAGGTTTGAGCGTTTAGCATACCTTTAATACTTTTGAGATACCATTTGAACTATTGTGTAGAATGGATGCTTATTACGTACCACTGTGGATAATGTTACTGGAGATATGATGGATACTAGGACGAGGTACTTAGGAACAAGACCAGTGCGTGTGTTCCGGGTCCGCAGCCAGAACAAAGATGCGGTTTGTTTGAATTTTTTTGTTTTTAATTTTATTTCATCTCATTTCCTCTGGAGTTCTATCTGAAGCACTCATTACCGCTTTTTCGGCCCTCACAGGTTCTTAATGAGGTGAGATTTCCAGCGTTTCTACAGTTCCTTTCGTAGTATTATAGCCGCAGTGAATAGAGCAGGTAGGAGCAATGTACAGATTCGATTGCAACTTGAGGGTTTTTTTTCTTTCATGGATGAATACTTCTGGGTATGATTTTCACTGGTGTCCTGCGATAGCCATGATGGGACGTTCTCAAGTCATCACAGCAAGCAGTTGCCAATGCTTGTGGATTAGAATGAATCTCTTTGCTTTGCATTTTCAATTCTTTCCGAGACCTGCGAATGCTCGATGACCGCTCGAAGACGATGCTACAATGAAATCGTCGTTTTTTTTTTGAGCTACCGATGTTGATTGGATCTTAGAAGATTTGTAGACCATTTGAACAAATATGGGGCAGAATATTTCCTAAGTTTACAAAGACTTCGGGTCCTCAAATCTCGTGAGAGACCATAGTCACCAATAAATTATTAGCGGTTATCAAGAAACTGGCATCGTCTGCAATATTATTGAACATAAAAAGCTGAATCATTTTCGATTACTTGTAACCACTACGTGTCACCTCATGAACGGGTTCAAATCGTTGTTATAACTTTCCTGTAGTTGCACGTTTAGGTTATGTGTACATCCTCTCGTTCGTGGCTGCTCTATCATTATCAGAATCGTTTCCATCTTACGCCTTTGAGCTATGTAACACTTGAGTCTGCTTCCAGCTTCAGCTCGGAGCAGTGCCTGGAGGGAATCGTTGCTATTGCAGAGAATACTTTAAGGTAATTGAAAACTTCGTGCTCATTTTTGCTTTAGATATTACCAATGTTTTTTAAAGGATTATGGCAGTAGAGAAACTCGGCGCGTCATTTAACCATATATCATATCCGCTGAAGTTCACCCCACGTCGAATGATCGTTCATCCAACAGCCACTACGTTGATGGTGATCGAGACTGACCATGCAGCGTATACGACGATTACCCTTGACAGAAAGCGTAATGATATGGCTGACGTGAGTTTGATATTCTGAAGTCTCTTTCCTATGTGTCTAAAGGATTTTTCCTCTGCTTAATTTTTTCTTGTATTCGTTATATTTATTTACACTACATTATAATGGGTGCTTTTCGATTTAACAATTCAGTTTTTATTTTGTAAATGTGTTATCTCATTTGATTGTTCCAGTCTGGCTTTTTGAGATTTTAATAATCAAAGTCCAGGGCATAAAGCTTAGTTATGTTAGCTTTCTCGTGTAGTGAACGCCTAATTTTTCGAGGCGCGCACTGTGAGTTTAGATCAGTTCATACCGGCCACTTATCATTCTTTAAACATATGAGTCATACATACACAGCTTGTTAGTGAGTCTTTGCTTTACTCCACCGACCTAGAAAGCAATTAATTCGTGCGGCACACAGAAACTTCATTATTGATACTCACCTTCGTTCTGTTCGCGTCACCATCAACATGTTTTAATAGTAAACTTGTCTAGAACTGTAGAAGATAGATTTTTTAAACCGACATCTGGTACACTTGTTTGCATTGGATATGTTTTCGATCAGGTACAAAAGTTACAGCAAAGGGCCTCTATGCGGCAGAATAAATGATCGTGAAAAAATGAGCCAATAATTTGTAATTTACTTATTTCGTTCTTCCCTAGAATAAATGGATATCACCTCATGTCACGCTCTAGGTGTTAACGAATGGCCACACGCGTGACCAAAGGACTACACTTTTTTATTGAGGTTTTAGCTATAATAAGAATCTAACGAATCACAACTATGGGATTTGACTGAACAAATAAGTAAGACATGCCTACTGAGTTCCTATCAAATCTAGGTGGTTTTAAGGAAAATGGCAATCATTTTGCGTTTCAAAACATATTGTAGCAGATGTCTCTACGGCGTATAATCTCATACATCATCTTCCATGCCATCGGACAATCCCAGTGTTTCAAATATTGTCCTATGCATTACAAGTAGCTTATGTAAAAGGGCGCGTGTGCCGCAGTGGTCGGAGGTGCTCTGCAACACATGGAATTGACTCCTCGCGCCGCTACCCCACCAAGCCTTCCATCCCTCCGGGGTTGGCAAATTGTTACTTGTTTGGGTGGATAGCAGCACTGGCTCGAAACATCGGTGGGCCACCATGAGTCAGTGTAAAGGCCAAAGGTGCATTCAATCACCTCCAATGATGTTTAATGAATTCGAATGCATGGCGCATTCGAAGGGATTAATCAACGTCGAGAGCTTAATCCTTTATTCTTTTTATTATAAGTAGCCGTTTCGATCATTAACATGTGTCAAGATATTTGGAACTGGTTTGTTATCAAACAACCCCAAAAAGATGTGAACTGATGTATGATTTGGTCCATGGACAAAAATGAAACTAGTGAACACGTGTGTGGAAGTGATGCCTTACTGTAGCTCATTACATGCTTCTGTGATTTACGATAATAACGTTCGTAGGTGTTGCTTTTGTATAGCTATTACGAAGGTGGTTGTAGATATTTTAGGAAGTAAACCTTCTTTAAGAGTTTAATGTGGAAGTAAATCTCATAAACATGGAACATTTTTCATTTTGGTTCGGTAATAGCATAAGTTTTGTTCACTTTATGTCTTGTTTTGAATGTTTTATTGATTAAGGATATTGTTCGACTTGCAAATGATATGGAAGAAGTTGAATTGGCAAAGGAGATAGCTGATGTTTTACGAAATAATCGCCCTGACGAGACAGTCTACGGAGCCGCCAAAGCAGCGCCAGGTTAGAGATTATGGGCAAAAAGACAACTGTGTTAGCTATATTATCCACTTGTATAGGAAAGTGGGCATCAGCAGTACGCTTGTTAAACATAAAAACCGGCGAAGTTCTATCGTTGTTTGAACTTCCCCAGGACGAAGCTGCCAAGTGGTAAGCCTTTCTAATGCTGCAACTTAAGGAAGTTGAGGCAGTAGCGTTCTGTGTGCAATTTGTTTCAGTATCGCTCTTGTGCAATTTGCATCCCATCAGGACACATTAATGGCCCTTGTCGGTTGTACCATAGCACAAAAACTTGATAAGGTTTTCAACCAAATTTGTTGCTTCGACTAGTGTTGTGTAAAACATATAAAGATTTCACATTAAGGTTGCTAAAAGCACCAGGGGCTGTATCTACACATTCCTTCTGACAGCTGCTGGTGATAGGTTTGAACTCATACATCGCACAGAGACACCACGAGTTCGTTTTTGTCTGGATAATTTTCGTCATTGGCAGTTTTCTCCCCATTATTGCTGTTGAATGTGATAGTTGTTTCCAGCCAGTAAACGCCATCCACGATTTCCGAGGCTCAGCCCTCGTTGGAATGTCGAATCATCTGCGACTATATGAATTCGGAAAAAAGAAGTTACTTGCAAAATGTGAGAATAAGGTGGGTGATTTCAACGAAATCGGCTTGTTCTTAATGTAAATTTCCTTCTAGTTCTAGCAATACATTCCTTTAGCTCAAATTTTCTCTTAGTTTTTAACTCATTTGATTCCTTGATAAATAAAAGTCATAGTGGAACATATTAAATTTAAGCATATCCCCCTACAAAATTGCAGTCTAGAGCCTGCACTTTGAGATTTGTCTGGACGTTTTTTTTACTAATTGACAAAATCATTATTCTAGTTCACTAAGCCATGCAGCTTCACTTTAAATTACATTGTATTTGTATCTTCCCTTGTGAAAAATTTTTATTCTTTCTTACAAGAAGAAAAGTTACCAACAGGTCATATAAACCCTTTACCAATTTTTGAAATTTATTTTGTTTTGGAATCATGTTTTACTTAATTGTTTTTGTAGTTATACACTTGTAGCGAGGTAATGGCTACTGTTTAAACAAAAACTATGAGAATTTTGACAACGCTTTCTTAATATCTCAAGAGTGTTTACTCGTGCTCTTTTCTCCTAATGTATGTGTTAATTTCTTATTTGCTTTTGTCTCTTTATTTATCTGTTTTGTTAGCAAAACACATCGTTATAAAAACGGAAGCGTGTGATCAAGTTCTACCAGATAAGCTTCGTAATAACTGCCAGAAAAACTCCTCCATCAGATCGGCTTATTTCATTTTAGGTATCTCGAAAGGGATCGTATTGTGAGTGGCACTCACGAATTGAAATCAAAACATTAGAGCCACTGCATGAAAAATAGTAGCAAATATTTCTTGTTACAAGCGGTGTAATCAAGTCTGTGGTACCTGTGTGCATTTCAGATCAAATTTCGATCTATGCGTTTACTTGCGAGGATATAACATGTTAGTTGTTGTAGTGTACATTTGTACATTTATGGCGAAGATCACGTGGTCCGATAGTTGTTGATTCCGGAGCCAACATTGTGGGACTTAGTGTTGGTGTACTGAAATTCCAGCAGATTAAAGAGCATGCTAGGAGCCCACTTCACTATGTACAGTATTGCCCTAAGATTAACAAATATTCTTGCTTATTAACTTTTTCAGCTATAGTTTTATAGCGAATCGTCATCTGGGATAATAAAGAATAAAGCAATAATAAAGAAGCAAAAGTCGACCCTTAATATCATTTCTCTACATGGCTGGATTTTAAAAGCCCAGACTGGCGATATATCTGACATGTCGATTAATATGATCTAATGTATCTAATGTACCTATAGTATGATACATTATGTGCAGCATAGTTTGATATAATAATAGAGTATAATATAATATATTGCAGTAGTATTATACATGTAAGATATAGTATAATACTACTTGGATGGCCTGTCGTTGGTTGTCCGGGTCCCAGCATAACCTCTATTTCTTTGGAGTTTTGTTGGTTTAGCCATTGTGATTCATTGGAGTCCCGAGGTCAGCCTGGCCAAAGTCTGCCCCAGGTCGTCACCACCACAGCAGTCGCCGCCCTTGTGGATCAGAAGATTTGCCACTATGCGACTAGTTAGATACCAAGACGGTGACGTGTCCTGGTATTGGTTTATTCTTAGCTGGGCTTCCTGATGAAAATGCTTGACTCCTTCTCAACTTCGGAGACTCTGCTAGGTTTACGGACCTCCCCACTGTACTTCGCATTCCGACACCCAGGAACACCCAGCCACGATAAGGTGTTGACCGTTGAGAGGATAGTATAATACAGGATATATTAATTATATTATATATATTGTAATGTACTCTATATAAGATGTTTGTTCGTCTACATAACAATTTGGAAAGTCATTTTATTTCGAGACAAACTACACCGAAAATGTGCTTCTGACTTACCTTAGTAGTATTCGGAGGATGGTTTAAATAGTGACATCTAAGAAGCCTTTTGAAACATAGACGAAATTCACGGTTGAATACAGTGTAGATGATAGGGTTCAATGCTGAATTTAAATATCCTAACCAGAACAGCACTGACCAAACGACGTCGTTCGCTTGCAGCTCAAGCCCGTAGAGTAATGAAAATCCCAGCCAACAGAATATGAAACATCCTGTGACAATTGCTACTGTCTTCGCCGCTTTAATCTCAACTGAAAGACGTTTTTCATAAGCGGAACTACTTTTAGTCTTCACGCGGCGTTTGATCTTTCTTAGTGGGTTTTTATTCAGTTTAGTTGGCAGTTGTAGTTTTGTTTGTGCCAGTGTGAATTTTTCCTCTTCTGTCAGTGGTTGTTTTATTTCCTGTTTCGCCATGATCCTGCAAAGTAATGGCTGAACCTTTACTTTTTAAAATTTTAAACCTTTTCTAAAAAACAGTTTTCAATAAGAAGTAAAACTAACCTGGTAGATTCCTCAGATGGTATGTTACTCTTCGCTTTAGTGTTCGGATTCGTGACAATCAATTTTTGTTGTGACGATCTTCGCTCCGAAGTGCTTAATTGTGAAGCAGGACATAGTTCTTCGTTGTTCTGTCTAACTCTTGAAGGGATTGCGTTGCTTCCTCGTTGTAATTTCATTCCTTCATTTAAGACAGTGTCTGATCCGTTGTAAGCATTTCTGAAACGTACGTATCATATAACCATCCACCACTCTCACCAACAAAGTGAGTCATGAGAAATTCACAACTTACATTCTCGAAGGAAGGTATGGCGAACGAATTTTGGGCATAGAGGTCCCACGATGCACTCGTAGTATAGGAAGCGAGTCTTTGGACCATACATTGGGATGGTTTATAAAGTGACTTTTAGTGTTCTTATTCACTTTAGTCACTTGCATTATTCCTGAGTACATGCTTTTTGTTGCACCTCTGGCAGCAATATAAATACGACAATATACGAATGTAACAATGATCATAGGTACGTAGAAGCTGCTAGAAGCACTAAAGGTGATGTAAACTTGTCCGGCATTAGCAGGTGTACATTTGCAGGGTTCTTGATAGATATCCTTAATAGATGAAGCGAGGAAGAAACTTGGACTGCAGATAATAAATGAGCCCATCCATACAACTGCGACAGTACATCGAGCACGAAATTTCGTCACTAAGATCGGATAGTTAAGTGGCTTGATTATGGCTATGTATCGGTCGATTGATATAGCAACAAGATTATAGATAGAGGCTGTACACATCCATATATCCATCGTCAACCATATAGTGCACCAAGCCTCCCCAAATATCCAGTATCCGTTTAGTACTTCATTGGCGATGCTGAATGGAAGGATCACCGTTCCTACCTTAAAGTCATTGTTGTTATACTCACGAATGTTATACGCATACTAGTCTTCAAACAAAACAAACCAGAAGATCCGCTATACCTAGCGACAGAATAAGTAGCCCAGTTGCAGAGCGTAGTCTTCGACGTAAAAGCACTGCAGCAATTACTAGCGCATTTCCAAGTATGACGACAACTACTAGCACCATTAGCACCGAAGTAATGGAAAATATTCGGAAAAATTTAGCATGGGCAGGATTCCGTGACCATTCGTAGAATGTGCACGTGCTATTATGAGCGGAATCCGCAATCATCTTGTCTTCGGTGATTTAGTGGTCACCTTGAGCTCACCAACTGTACATATCCTAAAATGAAAACATTTGTTATTAAGTAAGTTGAGGAGAAAGAAATAATACATAAATAGAGGCGGAAGATGCGATGTGCTGTTAATAATAATAGTTTCCAGGTTTCTTGAGTGTAAGGGATTCACAAAGCACGAAACGGGCGTTCCTTATAGAATAATTGCAGCTGTTCTTTAATGTGCTCTCGTTTCTTCTCTCGAACACTGCAAGCTGATTGAGGTTGTGGCGTATCGTATCGAAAGCTGTTCCAGTACGCTGATTGGCAGACAGTAGCTTTGCGCAGTAACCACACCTGATGGAAAATACTCGACCGTAAATAGTTAATTTTTTAAAGCTAAGCATTGCAAGTGCTAGGAATTAGCTGCTACATTGAAGAATTACTTTATCCACGCTGAGAAAAGTGAAGAAAAAAAAGAGCCAAGAAAGATACGGCTCGTCAGAGTTGTGATGTTCGACTTAAGTTGATAGAGGAGTACTTGCCGCTCAATTGAATGAACAACTTGAAGTGTATTCACTCAATAGGATGTGCTAAATAAAAAAACTCCAGTTTGGCACATAATTGTCATGGTGACATTCGAATGGCACATAGCAAATTTCAGAAGGGTTTCTTGCTCGAATGAAATTGTTCCGGATTTTTTTTTTGAACAGCGAAAATGATACATACGAGATCCTTGACCTTTTAATGGAAAAACTTTGCGTTTAGTTGTTTCGTAGTTTCTCGTATCGTTAGTATTTAGTGGCTTTTTGCCGTTATTTAGCACGTCGAATAACTATGTCCAAACGGGAATTGTAACCTATTACCCGTTTTGATGAATAACGTGCTAACTAGTATTAAGATTTAAAGAGCGCTTTCAGCAGTGCTTAGTTACTGAATTGTTATTTATGTTATGTCATTCAGTGTTCTCCCATTCTAAGTGCCTTAGTCCTGACGAGAATTGTAATTCTCTCTCTCCACCCTACTAGATGAATAATATGTTAACTAGTATTACTGAGAGGGCTTCTAGCAATACTGAATGACTGGATTATTTTTTTTGTCAGTCACTTGAATGCATGGATCAGTGAGTGCATGAATGCAGGGCAGCAACGATTCCTGAATTGTAATCATTCGGCAGGGACGAGCGTAGCGCAGTAGTCAATCGTTCAATCTTGCGCCCTGAGCCCACGAAGACTTCAATCCACTCGAGAGCTGCAAATTGGTAGCAGACTTATCTAGGGGAAAGCAACACTGACATGGTAGATTTGTAAGCAACCGCAAGTCACTGTATAGGCCAGATGTACATTCAGTCGCTTCTACGATGCTTGATGAATTCGAATGAATAGGCTTATCCACCGGAGTTGATCAACATCTAACGATTCATCCTTTATTCTTTTATTCATTCGACGTCGTTCCTCTGACAACAACATGAAAGAATGACTGTGAGTGTTAGCATTCGAATAGCTGCTACTGTCAACTATTCACCAAGGTTTTATTAGTTGTTTGCACTTCGACTAAAAAATTCGGAAGAAATAGCGGCACAACACTTAGTGAACGGAATTGCGAAAAAAGAAATCCTGTATGTCTCCTTGAATATTATCGGGAAATCAACTTATTCTCTTACTAAGAAATTTGGATTTCAAAACCGTAAAATCGTTGTAACTTTTCGCCTTGTTCAGAATTTTCCTGTTCAAATCACCGGCATTCAGTCAACGGGACAACGTATCATCGTGACCGATTCGCAAGAATCAGTACATTTTGTGCGCTATAGAAAAGCGGTGAGAGGCTTGTAGTTCTGTTGTTCTTTTAAATTTGAATTTCGAAAGCGTTAAAGAACGTTATCTTTATAGGAGAATCAACTGGTGATTTTTTGCGATGACACGACTCCACGTTACGTCACCACGTGCTGCGTTCTGGATTACAATACCGTGGCAGTGGGTGACAAGTTCGGATCGATATCAATTGTGAGTTTTATCCACTTGTAATATTCGAAAAGAAAAGAATGCTGACGCTTGGTAAGTGTTTGAAAATTGTGCTTGAAAACATTTCCTTAAGATCTTATAGTTCGGGATATCCATTCTTCTAGTAAAGAAACGTGGTATCACGAATCTGCAATCTTATCATTAAGATGGCAGAACCAGAAATTTTTCTAGAATCTGTTTTTGCTCTACGATTAATAATCGATGTTAGAGAATGTTTCGTCTATAATGCCATCTGTGTATTTCGCAATTATGGATAGGGAAACTCATACGGGGGGAAAATCCTCTGTGGTAGCTACTAATGTTATTTAGATACTTAGATACACATTTGGCCGTCTTCACAGTTTTTGTGGACCGCAGCACTATTTCTGTTCTGGTAGTATTTTGCTCGTAGGTCATGAACTTCCTTCCCTGACCTCTGATAGCTATATTAGGCTTGCCCAAACCATCAGTATAGCTAGTCGCTGGTTCCTGTGGGTAAGAAAAAGACTCCTTGCGTTGTGGCTAAGTTGGTGCCAGTACGGCTGTGATTCCCAGAATTAATTTAATCATAATTGGGATCCTAGATGGAATATCGAACTATTTTTAGCTAGGTGACCTAGATGAATTACCTGCTATGCATCGCGATTCAATTTAACAGCACTTCTTTTTCATGCCATGACATTAAACGAACGAGGCTGAGAATATAGATTAATGAGAAGCAGCTTTGCCTTGGCAGTACAAAATTAACCCTTTTGTAGCGGTAGCTGACGAGAATTTCTTGACAACCAGAGTATTTCTGGAGTTCAAGCTTTATAGATTCGTAGAAGAGAATTAGGTGTATCGCATTAGCACCATGTATAATCTCTATACAATCTCCTATACAGCTTAGATATGTTTGGAATTAGAACTTTCGAAAAATGCATAACGAGATTTAAGCTTTTAAAATTTCCAACCGAACAGCGGCATCAATAGACATGAACGATACATTGGGAAACGCCATCGTGGCAACCTAGAAGGTTTTTTCTGATCCAGGCGAGAATTTGTGGATCCTAGTGGTAATGAATACAATTCATTATGAGCTAATATATATTTTTTTTAAGTTGTAAGCTGGCATTACTTTCTCACCATATCACTCACATATATGTAAAGTCGTCGCGTAAAGTGTTAATGTTAAAAAGATACAAGGCGGGATTTTGCGATATATGTGAGAAACATTTTCGCTACTCGGTCGCCAAGGCTTGCTTTACTAGCTATCCGCTTCTTAAGTGGCAATTACATAAATATTAGATGAGGTATCGTGTTAGTTGAAAATTAGTATTTTTTGCACGTTTCTTTTTTCGTTCCCTGAAAGAAGACGAAAAATATATCCCAAAAGAATATAGAAATAAGTGGAGAGTGCAAGACACGCAGAGTACAATCAATTCCAAGGGCAATCCAAACTCCATGCCTGACATTTAATCTGTAATGAAGTGGACATGTACTTTGTGATTAAGGGATGTGAATTCTCGTAAGCACAATATACGTCCTGAAAGACTGCTCATCGAATGTATCTGCCAAAGCTTATTCTTGTCCTTATTTTGAATTGTCTTGTAGTTAGATTCAGCTAAAATATCCGGTTAAATGCGAGTAAAATATGAAATGATTTATCTTAATGCTAGCTGGACAATTACATTTTGATCACAGGGGATTTTCTTCAAATTTTCTTATCTACTGTAAGAAAAAGAAGCATAAGAAATTGGTAAGAAAATCATATTTCTAAAGCACAAAGATGTTAAAATGAGATCTCATTGACTGTCGATAGTTCGAATTGGAAGACCAAATTAACTCTCGATGTCCGAAGAAAAAAAAGGCGGCAGAGACAATACGTGTGCGCACATTTCCAAGTAGGGTAAAACGAATTATTGAAGTTCTTTCCACTGTTGTCTTGCTATTGTTTTGGCTAAAGTATTTAAAGAAACCTAATGCAGATTGTGCAGATCATGTTTAATCATTTGCTTCATAACTAATGTAAGAGCAGTTTTGGTGCTAACCACTAAAATAATAACTGTAGTTGGCAGTAAGTGTCGTGCACACAAAGCGAAATAACTTTTCCTTCCTTATGTGATACGTAGTTGAATATAGAGTGGTAGGAATGGCAATCATTTTATTGTTGGCAAAACGGTAAAAACATCTCATTGTATCTCTATATTTAACGTTCGATGAACAGCGTCCAAGCAAGAAGATGCAGGAATTTGCTTACTCGTATGTGATGAATGAGGGCGAAGTCATGAATCCGGAAAAGTGGTTGGAACAACTGGTTATAAGGTGGTAAAACACAGAAAAATGTTTCGAAAAGTGATAAAATATGACTTGTGTTTAGGGAGTGTGTAGTATGTGAAGCCCTTCGGATGTTCATCGCGTAGTAAATGTTTAAACAAAGATACATTATCAATCATTATGAGTGAAAATAGTTTTAAATGTAAGGCAGTTTTTCAATATACGAGCATGAGATTTTTCTTCACGTGGAAATCCTATTTGTAAGTGGAATCCAACCCTTGTGTAGGAGCTGACAAATTACGAAAAGGAGTGAGTGACGTAGAGCGCTTTAATGAGTGTCATACGGACTGCGTGGAATAGTGATGCGACGACTAAGCATCCGATTGTATTTATATGTGCGTTTTCGAGACGAGTATACTGTACTTACTCTGCTTCGATTGACCTGTAGTAGAAAAATAAACAACTAAAGTGAACTAAACGTACTTTTAAAACCATACCAAAAAGATGAAAAATAAACAACCACAATGATGCTGAGGTATTTGCGAAACTCAGATCCCACTTCAGATTCGAACCCGCGATTACACTTTCCGGGACTCATGTATTACCCACTGCACCATCAAGGTCCTTGCTTTGCGTTTCTATCAACCAGTTTTTTACATTACCGGTGCCATCAGCAATCACTTGTCAATGGGAATGATCTTTAGAACATAAATCGGTATTAATCCAGTTAAGCTGAGGCTGTAGTCGACATCACAGTGATAAATGAGTCTAAGTGGTGCCGTGCGTAATATGTGAGCTCCCGGAAAGGGTAGTCGCGAAGATAAAAGTTTTACAGTTCGATTTTAGTTGAAGGTTGAGGAGTCTTGGTGTAGATTAAATAAATATCTAAGAGTCGTCGAGCTGAGAAAATATTTTTGGAAATGACGTAGGACTGGATCGGAATAGATGCGAAATAACGCGGATATGAATGTAGAACAAGTAATGAGTAAATGCAGTAGACCCAGCTGCGCATTCTCCCTTCGTTGTCACATCATATGCATAGGGATGACTAACAAATTCTCATATCCGTTATTATGTAATCGAAAAAAGTATTCCGCTTGAAATGAGGAATTAAAACGTATCGGTTTGTGATGTACAAGTGGCTATTCAATGTTAGGTAGGTGAAAGTAGAATGATCTTAGAATTAGTGAATTCGAATTAGGGGAACCTCAGCTACAAGTTGTGACAACATGCCATGACTCGAAGTAGCAAATTGCAGTACAAGAAAGGAGCCAAGTTTCACTTATAGTTGCCTTAGCTGTGACACTAATACTAGTACCTTTGGAATTACGCTTAGTTGGATGAGTGTGTCACCTGATATAAGTATCCAAGCAAATTGGATGATATGACCGTATGCTAATAAACGGTAATTCATTTCAAAATGCCATTTTCGAAGCTATTTCCTTTTCCCATCTATTTTACTGTCAAAGGCTTCCGCTACTTGACTCAATTTGTGGATGAAAAAGTCGTGTTTGAATATTTCACTGTGGAACAGTATGCGACGTAGTTTTAACGGCTATACTTTGAATAGGGTTGAACTGAGAGTATATTCACCATAGTTTCTAGTGACTTAACGAAAAAGGCTCATCAGGAATGCTTTCTCCACAAAGCCATTATGTTCTGTTTGTGTTTAGCGGTTTTCATTGTAGAGCAGAGGTTTTTGTACTGAATAATATTTTTGTAAGAATTGACTTCCGCATTGCATTTACATTAGTCCGCATTACTACTATGAGGGTTCTAACTAATTTCGCTTCCGGTGTAATGCAGCAGTATATTGAGAACTTTGCTTTTTCCGAATTAAAAGTAAATATTGAAAATGCTTAAAAACATTTTTGACATCTTTATATCCAGAGAACTTATGACCTCTGTGTTTGTGAATCGAATTTTCTACTGCGTGTGATAAAGTGTGAACTGTGATAGAAGTATTTTCCACAGTAAGCCTTGCTAATATTCTACAAATTGACACTAGTTGGACTTAGTCAGAGTTTAATAAATATGAACTGTTAGGACTGTATTAACATAGTGATGCTGAGATATTTGCAAAACTCCGGACCACAGGTGTCTGCGGTGAGGATCGAACACGTTATTACCCTTATATTACCCTAAGATTAATAGCGTGGTTGGATCCCCATTGTAGGTGCTTGAGGTCCGGAGTTTTGCTAATATCTCAGCGTCACTGTGGTTGCATTTTTCATAGTATTCTGCAATGAAAGAATGTAGTATGCAGTAAATAAGAAGTTGACATTAACTAACATATTTGTGACAGCACTAGTTTTCCGCTAACTAGAATCTTTGAGAATCTCAGGACTTTGTCAGGATTCAGGATGAAATTTGGTCCTTTTGTATTAGGAGTTGAAATAAATAGAAAGTGAATTATATCTTTTTCCAGAATAATATTTTCATTTTGCGAACATGAAAGCAGAAAATGCTGAGATAGTAAAAAATAAGAATATTGAAGTAAAAACAGGTACAAATAGATAGAAAGTTTAGAAAACTTCAGTGTAAGTGCGAAAGGCATCAACAACATCGAAGCATTCGGGGATTCATTGCGTACTGCTTGAGAAAATTCCAACTGCTCCATGATTCGCTTTTTAAGTATAAAAACTCTCGGTGTTGACCAATCTCTGAGGGATGCGCCATGCATTCGACTTCATTAAGTAGTGCTCGAGCCAGTGTTGCTATCATCCCAAATAGGTTTGGTACCAAATTGCCGACCCGGAGGGATGCAA